GTTCCAAATTAGTATTTATTTTATTTGTCAGTTTTGTGGTGGTGGTAAAGAATAGCTGTCTATCTTTATGAATGGCCGTTTGGTGTAGTGGTTCAGAACGGACTACTATGCCGAGAGGTCCTGGGTTCGATTCCCGGCCCGGCAGTATTTTAATTTCTGTATTTCTGTATCTATGTAAGACCACTTATGTACCTGGAATTACGCAAATAAAGAAATTGATTTGATTTGATTTGTGACGGGACTGGGTGTTTTCTATGTAAAATATGTATGTATTTACAAAAAAAAGTATTCAAGTATGTTTATATCCGTTGTCTAGTACCCATAGTACAAGCTTTGCTTAGTTTGGGACTAGAGGCGCAGTGTAAAAATATCCCAAGGATATCTCTAAATAATGTCAATTTTCGGCGGCAGGCTCCTCCGAGGACAAGGCGTGGCTGGTGTCGGAGCGCGACAAGTTCGACCACGAGCTGGATACCGACGGCGACGGCGTGCTCAGCCTGCGGGAAGTCGAGAAGTGGGTCATTCCCGACAACGAGTGAGTGTTAACTGTTAGGGCTTGTAAAGCCTTTTCCGTGAGCACGTAGAATCCCGTCCAGTGACCCCAAGCTGCCCATCCTTGTCGCTCGCACGTAATTAAGTTGCTGTCGCGCTCGCACACTCACTGCGGGCGCGCGTCGCACAGTCGCGACAGCAATATAATTACGCGCGAGCGATAAGGATGGGTAGCTTGGGGTCATTGGACGGGATTCTACGTGCTCACGGACCAGGCTTTACACAAAACTGCGAAACAGCGCGATGTGAATTCGCAACGCAAAAAACTGGACCCAGAGGCCAAATTGCTATTGAAGTTCGTAGATATTTAGTTCGCAGTTTTGTGTACAAGCCCTTACTTCTCTTACCGCTTCGAGTTTTAAGGTTAATTGATTGTAGGGCTTTTAGACGCGAGTCTGATATGCGCTACGCATTTTAAACCACGCGATCTACAGTATGTCTTATGTTGGACTTGATGCTAACCCATTTATCAATTTAAACTTCTCAAAGTCAAGTTCTATTTCCTCAGCTGGTACGTGTTTGTGTGCGTTATAATACAATATGGAAATCTAAAAAAAAACATTAAAAGATTAGGTCATTAATTAACTGAATATGTTACTTTTAAAGACTCCTTTATCTCTTTACCTATACTAACACATTCACTATAAACCTTCCAGGGAAATAGCTGAAGAGGAAGTGGACCATCTGTTCGCGTCGGCCGACGACGACCACGACGACTTGCTGTCGTTCGCCGAGATCCTCGCGCACCACGACGTGTTCGTCGGCAGCGAGGCCACCGACTACGGCGGCGACCTGCTCGGCGAACACTTCGACGACGAGCTCTAGGCAGGTTACGGACCACAGGCGCGGATCCAGCCCTCAAATATGTGGAATAGCCACCAAAAATTAGCAATGTGAGAGTTGGATTGGAGTACGAACTCACTCACGCTCGATTTTTTAAAGGCTCATCAGTCAGCCGTTTTTATCATCAGCCTATCGATCTTATCAATAGATCATAAATAAAACAAGCAAATTAGGGTTGTGGGCATGCCCACAGTGCCCACAACGGTGGATCCGCGCCTGAATAAGACCAGGGCCCCGATTACGCTAAAAATGTTCATCTTCAACGTTTGTTACGTTCACGCACATCAGCTGTTTTGACAAATCCGTATCGCGGTGTCGTTTTGACAGCTATAGTCTGGTCCGTGAGCACGTAGAATTTTGTCCAATAACCCAAGCTACCCATACTTATCGCTCGCGCGTAATTATATTGCTGTCGCGACTGTGCGACGCGCGCCCGCAGTTAGTGTGCGAGCGTGACAGCAACATAATTACGCGTGAGCGATAAGGATGGGTAGCTTGGGGTCATTGGACAAAATTCTACGTGCTCCCAGACCAGACTATATTTGAAACGAAGCATAGAAGCTGATAACATCCATATATGTGCTAATAACTCATGTGACAATGAAAATACTAGGAAGGTACGTCCATTACCGTGATACCGAATTTGCACCTCAGCTGGAATGAAAAACGGAGCGCAACTGGAGAAGAAGCGCGTATGTATTGGAGACGTTAAAAATTAGCGTAATCGGGGCACAGACAATACAGTGGCCTAATTCACGTATTTTGATAGTCAAGATCTCGCTGACGTTCAGAAGTCGTTCCATTGAAAAACAGTTCTAAATCCGTATTCATAAGGGTCATTTTGATAGAACGATTACTCGATAGGATCGCAATTCAGCGATTGGTTGTCGTTGAAGTTTTGTTACGTGAATAAGGCTACTGGTTAACTGACCAACGTGACCATAGACAATATAAGCCCACCAACCAACCTGGGTCCCGATTGCGGTAATTTTCTTTAATTGCAACGCGATTGCGCGACGATCGAAAATAAGCTTTTTGACAAAGCCGTATCGCGTTATCGTTTTGACAGCTAGTTCAAACGAAGCTAAAACGTAAATGGCCCAAATTGAACTTGAAATGACCCATTGCCTATTGCCACACATAAGACATCAGAATTTTGAACATAACTTCTTCTTTTTCTCAAATACTAAAACCCAGGGCGATTATACTTTAAAGGGTCAAAAATCTGTATGCTTTTAATTTACCCTCAGTAATAAATTTAAGTTGAGTAGCCAACTTAAGAATCTACTAACGTATAAAGACCGTCATTTACGGCCAAACCAAATGTCTCGCCTCTAATGTACTGATTTATTTAAGTTAGACACCTGACCTGTCATAGAATTGTAGCCTAAAACCAAACATCTAATATTAGAATTCAATGTTTTAACCAGGGTTCGAGGATATATATCAAGGGATATATATCTTGATATATATCGGATATATATCCGATATATATCAAGCCGGTTTTAATGATATATATCAACTTTTAAAATTTGTTACTGTATTTGTACTTTTTGACATAAGATTTTTATTTTTTTAGTTCATTTTGCCGTATTTTAAAGAAATTTTATGTTTTTGCTTTATTTCTCTGATTTTAAGTTTTAAAAACATTAAAAACATGTTTATGTAACACTTATGCAAATTTTAATAGTATTCATGAATAATACAATAAAATAATAGTATGGCTTTCATACAAAATTGATATATATCAAAGTTGATATATATCCGATATATATCATAAATATCCGATATTTTGATATTTATAATAAATATCGGATATTTTCGAACCCTGGTTTTAACATTGTTTTCGATAGAACATTTAAGAAGTTAATCAAGTTAATCAAATTAATGATTATTGATTAATGATTAACAAATTAATCATGATTATGATTACTTTTTTAATCATGATTATTTTAATCAGGATTAATTTAATCATGATTAAAATTAATCAAATTAATTAATTGATTAGTGCCAACACTGGTAGACACTTTTGTCTTTACTGATCTAAAAGTGTGTTCATAAATAAAGTATTCAATCCTATTTCTCCGTCAAGCTTATAGGCCTACTGAATACAATAGAAAAACTTTACACAGTAAGTAAGTACTGCCCCGAGATATCATTTTTTCGACTATATTTTGTTGCTCTCGCACAAGTCAAAATCATGGTGGGAGTGCAAGGGATGACATTATCACACAAATGTGTAAAGAGACTTAATTATTGTCAGCCTTAAATCTTACATTTAACGTGTAAATAATTATAGGATTAACTTAAATATAATTTATTAGGAACGTTTTTAGAAGTTTGAAATTAATAATCATGTATTAATACCGACGCATTTATTTTTATAGGCAATAATCTCAAATTATTTTAATGTTATACTATTGGTTTATATATTTTAACAAATTATTTTAAGTAGGTGTGCAAACAATGTGTTTATTAGCAAATTGTATCTACAGCGAGGTACTTATTTATTAGTAATAATTATATACCACATATTGTAACATAAAAATGTTATTAACTCATTCTTCTTCGCTTGTAAACAATAATGGCCTAAAATACTTAGCGATCATGCTTCTATCCGCATGACCGTTTAAATCAGTGGTTCTTAATCGGTGGTCCCTGGAGATATTCCAAGTGATCCACAAAGTGCACTAGCACACCTTGGTTAAAACCACTTTTAACTGATTTTTGCAGGCAAACTGGTTTTGACCGATTATGAGGTGGTCCCTGACAAGACAGAAATTTGGTAAAATGGTCCCTCATGACTTAAAGGTTAAGAACCACTGTGCACTGGTTTAAATAGTCAATACGTAATACATATTTACATTTCGCAGCTGCGTGACACGCCGATACGTTTTATTAATTAGGTAATTTCTTGTCAGTGACAATCTGAAAGTGATTGGTTTTTAGTATTTCTATGACCGTAAAGTATTTTGTTGAGCGGGGTTTCTTAGGGAGCTTACACATTGCGGCTTTTTGCAACGATACAAACGCGCGTTTGACAGTTGGCGGAAGATTGTGTCGTTGCGTTTGTATGTATGTATTAATTGCGACTGCATTGCGATTGTATCGCTGCTTTTGTAACAAGAGTGTGTAAAGGACTAAATGTAGATGTTTTGCGACTGTATCGAGACCGTTTGTTTCGCCGCAAAAAGCAATAGCAATGTGTAAGGGCCCTTAGTAGTAATAATAGAGTTAGAAGTGCCATAACCAAGTATGTACTTATCCCGTAGACAATTGCCCATGTTATGTTCTTTATGTAATAAACTATTTATTATTACTTTTTTTTTGTTTTATATTGCAAGTATGTTAGAACTTAGAACTAAGATGTGTAGCAAATGAAACACTTGACATTCATTTACAATATTTTTTTATTCAATATAATAATCTTAATAAATCCAAAATATTTACACAATACAAAACATACAATATTACCTGCAGCGTCCCGCGGCGCCGCCCCCGACTCGAGCCCGGGCAATGGAAAATGGACCTTACGTAATTATTGCTCAAGTATACAATTCAAGTGACGATTTACGTTAACAGTAGATTTTCTAAGCGTACTATATTAAGAACTACGTAAATACTATTTTTCTCTGAGTAGACGCAACGCTGGGCGGTCGTGACTCGGGGTTGGGTTGTAAGCGGCAAAGTTCGACTTCGCCGGTAGCCGGGGGCGGCCGCTCGTTACATATTGCACCTTCTTGGTATGCAGCCGTTAAATAATACGATATAAAATAATTTCAATATTTACTTTCCAATAACGTTATACATATACTATCTATGTAAAAATTGTAATAGGCTCGCACACCAGAATACGGTATGAAATCGTTATCGTTTTCGGTAATGGACTTTACATTATTACATTTCCAAACTATCATTTCATAGTCTTTAAACCTACAAGTATCAACGGTTGTAAAACGACGCGAGTTATTTACCGGGACGTCTGAACGCGCGCGATTCGGAGCGCTCGAGCGGAGGTGGTCACTTCCTAACTTCCGGATAAATAAACATTTCTCTAAAGTATTACATACGTACTACAAAATCAGGGGACGCAAGCCATCACAAATGGAGTGCGAGTCATTCTCACTCCGGCCGCGCCGCGAAATACTATTCACAAAATTTTTAAAAGCCATTCGTGAAGAACTTCGATAAAATCTAATCATTTCATTGAAAGTAAGAAACAACACTGAGAGTGACTCGCAACAGGCGAGCCGGTGGCTGAAGCGATCATGTACACTGACTGTCGAGCGTAAGGTCCGACACGCCGAACCGCAACTACTACAGCTTTACTTTATGTCCTATGTTCCATAGTTTGTAATGTACAGATTCCACAAGCCCAAATAATTAGTAAATTCCCTCGTACATGGAATGCGACGAATCATAAAAAACAGTGACGCGAGTCACAAGATCAACTGTGATACATTTCACTTAAAATATATAATTATACAGACAATATACATAATAGTAAGAACAATTTGTCCATCCAATAATTTTATTAGTGTTTAAAATAACTATAACGATCTAACTGAGATGTGTAAATCTAAATTTAAATAACTATATGCATATATTTTATTTTGAACTAAATAAGAAATGGGAGTCTGTTATACACGTTTCAATAAGTTGTAAATTAACAGCACGCGCGACGAGCGCGAGGCTCGAGGTGGCTCGGGGTTTGTAGGCGATATTGAAGCGCATAAAACGGACGAACGATGAGATATAGGTGAGTAATATTAGCCTAGGACCTTGTGGACAAAATGATTTGAAATCATGATGAGTGAAGCGAAGAATATGAGAGATGGGACGCGCCACGCTCGGCGCCGCCCGCCCGCACAATCTCATTGTGACGCCTGCTGCCGACGCCGGGCCAGAATGTTCATTTCATAAAGGACGCCATCATTGTGACCAGAATTAAAGAGGAGCACGTCCAAACAACATTGACAAGTTCATTATTTTAATTTGGACTACGTTTAGCGCCGGTCGGGCCGCGGTCGGCGAGCGAGCGGCCAAAGCGTGGCCGCGCGACGATGAATGTAAATGCACCTTCACCACAATTTTAACGTGAAGCTTCGGCTCCGTGCGGCGACGCCGCGCTCCGCTGGGCGTCCGAGAGTACTTAATTTTATAGCTTTTGTAATTTCAACGTTTATTTATCTACAAAACTGTCGAGTGTCAAACTCAAGGCGGCGATTTCGGGAGATTCGACGCAGAATTCGTCTCCTTCTTCCTCATTTCAAGCAGAAAGGAGGGATGGGATACGTGTCGTGCGCCCCAGAATCGACCCTCGCGCATATTAGATCCCGACGGAGCCAGCGGAGCGCGGCGGCGCGCGGAAAGTCAACGAAATCGTTAAGTATCCCTTACACTACGGGCGCGTGCGACTTATAACATGATACAAACGAAATTAAATATATCTTTATTACATCTCGTTACATTACAAATAAGTGTTTAAATCTAGGTATCGTTTTATAATTAGCTTTGTTTATAACGCGAGCGGGCCGCGCCGCGCCCCCGCCTGCGCCCGAGCCGAGTAGCGGTTTTGTCTGCAATTCATAATAATTGTACACCTTTATTATATTAAGCATTTAAATGGCCACAAAAGTTCAAAATTAAAGTATTCGTAGCTTAAATTATTTTCGTATTAAAATGAATCTAGGTGTCATAATCCCAATCAAACTGTTGGTATTAAAATCCAGCCAGAGACGGTAGGGTTGTGTTTTTGTGAGCTAAACAAAATTGCTAAGTAGTGTGTGTGTGACGAAGACGGATCTGGTGGTACAAAACCCGTCTCAAGTTATGCTTCAGCCAAACCTAGCGTAACCTACATAGGTGATGTAGACCAATGACAGGACGAGCGTCCAATGACTGGACGCGCGACAATTGACAGGACGTGTGACCCAATGACAGGACGTGCGACCAATGACAGGACGCGCGACCAATGACAGGACGCGCGACCAATAGCAGGACGCGCGACCAATGACAGGACGCGCGATCAATGACAGGACGCGCGACCAATGTCAGGACGCGCGACTAATGACAGGACATGGTGCACGCCGGCTGCACGCGTAGGTTTGGTTGAAGCTTTATTTATTTCGTGGAAAACAAACAGCATATCGTTGCTGTCAGTTCAAATGGACGTATGTCATCCCAAATTTAAAAAATATACAGTTTTTTTGTGTCTCCTGAAAACCTACTGGTATAACATACGTCCTTTTGAACTGACAGCGACGATATATGTACCTAATAGTTAATAGATGAGGCAGTTAATATATAAAATATACCTTTTGAAGCCATAGCAAGATATCAGAAGTAAATGTAGGTGTGACGAGCAGTGAGTCCTCAGTACAGACCTGGTGGTGGTATCACTTGCAGCAGGAGGAGGCGCGCGGGGTGTCCCCGTCGGCCAGGCGCCGCGCGCCCGCCGCGCCGCCGCCGCCGCCGCTCTCGCTCTTTGGTAACTTGTTCGCTGAATACACAAATACACGACACCCGTCAGTTATAGCACAGAATAATAATAAGTACTACGTACAGAAGTTTTACTTCGCGAAGATATTTAAAAAAATGTATGCTCAATGTCATTAACAATATGGTGTAATTTAGCCTGTCTCAAGAGTCAAGCAACCATTTTGTTGACAAACATCAGTGATCGGCACTGCGCCGAAACTATAGGGCTGACTTCGGTAAAATGATGTGACGTGAGGTGCCAAACTGCGGAAAATGGCAGAGGAAATACATGATTTAGCATGAATTATCATGATAATATTAACTACTTATTTACTTCGCAGTGTCTTGAGGCAACTTAAAAAAGTACATTCTGTGTTTTTATTATTATTTAGGCAGTTAAATACTGCACAGTATTTAGTACACCATTTTCTTTATTTTCTTCCGTCATACACAAGAATACGCGTGCGTGAGTCAATGTTCGCTCGTATGTGAGGCCTTGTCGAATAGTATCCTGTAGGTGGGCCATCGTACGTGTTTTGTTTTCGATGTAAACTCGCGGAGATGAACAGGCCTGGTTATAGCTTCAATAGCATACGTATAGCGGCCGCTGTAAAGCTTCAACCGCACTAACGCGAGCAGATCGCCATCGCCGGCGCGATCATAGGCCAATGACAATGTCAATGACCCATGACAGTATAGTTCCAAAATACTGAACTGTCCTATCCATGACATTGACAGTGGGGCGCCACCGTCAATACCGGATCGCTGGTTCCGATTTTTGCCATGTTGGAAACCATATCGTTGAACGATGGTAGCGCCCCCTGTCATTGAGTTTGGTGGGACAGTTCAACGTGGGTCATCAATACACGCGACATAACTGTCATTGGCCTATGCTCGCGCCGGCGATGGCGTCCTGCACGCGTTGGTGTGGTTGAAGCCTAAGACTTTTGTTCTACTTGGGCCCTCTCCCCATGGATGTCGTAAAAGCCGGTTAAGGGAGAAATATGCGAACTTCAGGCTTCCCCAACTCATGGCAACGTGAAAAGAACAAATCCAGGTAGCTTTAGAGAAGGATCGCCCTCCTACAGTGGAGAATCAACGAACAACGTCCATCATCATCATCAACAGCCCTTTACAGTCCACTCTGCTGGACTATGAGCCTCCTCCAATATAGTGGAGGGTTTTGCCATAATCCCCACGCTTGGCAGGCGGGTTGGAGATCGCAGTTTAAAAGATTGATGTTTGTCAGAGAGCGCTGCTGCAACAACGTCCATGTTGTCTTATATGTTTTGATGTTATGTACGTTTTTCAATAAATAAACATTAACAACTACGTGACATGCAACAGCAAGATTTGTGCGTGCGACGTTTATGTCGGAAGGCGCGGAAGCCCCCGCACGCAACAACTGTCATGCTAATGTGCCCGCATACGGTACGTACCAATGAGAATCTTAAATTAATTTAATGTTATAGTGCCAGAGAAAATCCGTTTAGGCGCGTCTGGTCCAATTTGCAATTGGGCCAATCGTGAAAAATTCACAAATTCGCGATTAGTCCAATTCGCAATTGGGTCAATTCGCTATTGGACCAATTCGCTTTTTTTCTGCAATAATAGTAAAAGTTTAATAACCTCCTTATTTCTTTGATTTTGGATATTCTTTTATTTTGGACCAATTACGAATTGGACCAAACGCGAATTGGACTAATCGCGAATTTGTGAATTTTTCACGATTGGACCAATTGCGAATTGGACCAATCGCGCCTAAACGGAGAAAATCTACGCCTGAATAATATCTCGGTGTAAACACGGTGTCAACATTATTCGTTTCTCTCCAGACATTACTTCCCCCTTAGTAATTGCTAGTGCCCCATTAGTTCATTCACATTGTTATTAAAAAATAAAAATTAAAAATTCATAAAATTCATTTATTTTTGCAAATAGGCTTTAAAAAAGCGCTTTTACACGTCCCAATATTAACCCTACCACTACCATTATCATGTTCATCATCTTATCAATTTATAAATCCTTCAGCACACAGATGTGTATTCAAGAGTGAATCATGACCCGTAATGGCGTGTGACTAAGAGGCAAATTACCTGACATACTCCACCATAATTCAATGAGATCTCAGTTCGTGTGAACGTTCATTGTGAATGCAATGTTGCCTTCACTGTGGTGTAGGTATGTAGTAAACTTCGCGAATCGTGATTTACTATTTAACACGTAAGGTGTTTTGCCACTTTTATTTTCTTGAAGGTCATTTTCACCGTTACCCTATGGTAAATATTACAGGTGTTTATTGCTATGTAATGGTCTTGGCATAAATTTTGAGAGAATCGTCCTTGATTGTTTGGAATCAAAACTTACAACGGGAAACTAGAAATGTGATGAGCAAAAGCGATTGAACTGCCGAATTTTCCCATCTTATCTAGTTACAATCTCTTTCGGTCTAAGTGGTATTTAGTAGAGCAAAGGGTGGGTTTAAAACATTCAGTAAAGATTGCTGCGGGAAGCTAAAATATCTCCATCATCGGATCGCAACGTCAGAAGCATAGCGTACTAGCTAAAGCTTCGCGGGAATGATCACATATTAACTTGTGTAGGGAACCGGTAGGCGGACCAACCTCTTTTGATATTTTTGTCTATGTTTTTATACGTTTTTTACTCTTTTTGATGCCTTTTGTTTTTAGTTTTGAAGGATATGTTTTTTGATAGCCGTCTGGCCGTTTAACGCAGAAATACATTTTTATTTTAAACGGAATTTTGCACACTTGGTGCAATAACGCCACAAGTGCAATAAATGTTTTTTTCGTATTTCTGACGTTATTGCACCAAAATAACGTCACAAGTGTAATAAATGTTTTTTCGTATTTCTGACGTTATTGCACCAAGTGTGCGATATATTTTCTTATTTGTGCACGCCCGAGCGGCTGTCCGCTACAACTTGGAAGTAGAGCAGCAACTCACCGATCGCTAGGAATATGTCGTTGACGTTCATGGCGGTCTTGGCACTGGTCTCCATGAACAGCAGGCCGTTCTCGTCGGCGTAGGCCTGCGCCTCCTCGAACTCCACCATCCGCTTGGCGGCCAGGTCGCTCTTGTTGCCCGCCAGCGCGATCACTATCGACGGCGACGCCTGTCTCTGCAGCTCCTTCACCCAGTTCTTGGCGCGACCGAATGTGTCCTGGGGATTGAGGAATTATAAAATTCATTTATTTTCTGCATATTGGCTTTTAGTCTAGGCCAGTCTTTCCCAAAGTGGGCTATAACGCCCCCTTCGTGGGCGCTACAGGATTAAAGGGGGGCGGTAAGAGACCCAGAAAAAAAAATCGGGACGTTGTGTAGAGGCTTGGGAGGCGTCATTTACTAGGAGGACTCTTAGACACCGACTGAGCACTCGACACTCGACTACAAATGAGGGCGCTAAAAAGAATTTATTCTCAAAGTGGCCAGTAGACAAAATAAGTTTGGGAACCGCTGGTCTAGGCGCAGACCACCAACTTTTAGTTGGCCGATAGTTGGGTCTGGCTGTTAATCAGTATAAGTGCGCACATTAAAATCGCACATCGATTTGGTATCGGCGGATTCTTCATACAAATTAAAATCGGGTCGGTTAATCCAACTATCGGCCAACTAAAAATCAGTGGTCTGCACCTAGGCTTAAAAAGAGCTTTCCAGTTTTACTTTAACCCTACCACTGCTTCGGGACAATAAATAGGCAAATGCTGAAAAGAAGCAGCGTAAGAAACTCAGTCACTGTAAAAGTGTTAGGAGCATTGTTGTGTTTCGGAACTTGGAGGTAAGATAGCCAGTTCCTTAGTGATGATTCCGGGTGAAGCTCGCTTCCTACTTCGGCCTGATATCGCTCCGGACGTTGAGAATTAAGAAGCAGCTCAAGAAATCCAGTCACTTATGTAGATGCGAACCGCTAAACTAGCTTGCTAAAAAAATGAGGACATTCGCAAAAGACGACAAAATGAGCGAGGATCGAATGAACTTGGAATAGGTAAGTTTCTACAAGTATCATGAAAAAATCGAATGTATGGCTGCAGTCCTATTTGCTACAGACACATCCACAAACATGCGATACGATTCATCGGTAGTGAGCCTGTAGTGGACGCCAAATTAAAATGATTTGTTCGATTTAGGTGGCATATTTTGAAGACCAAAATTATGCAATAGCTTCTTATCAAATTGATAAACGAATAATATCTAAAAGATAATAATTTAAGTTTAGTATCAAATTCAATTAAAGAACTGTGTTTAACGTGCTATGTGTAAGTAAATCTAATAAAGTTNAAGTGGGCGATAACGCCCCCTTCGTGGGCGCTACAGGATTAAAGGGGGGCGGTAAGAGACCCAGAAAAAAAATCGGGACATTGTGTAGAGGCTTGGGAGGCGTCATTTACTAGGAAGACTCTTAGACACCGACTGAGCACTCGACACTCGACTACAAATGGGGGCGCTAAAAAGAATTTATTCTCAAAGTGGGCAGTAGACAAAATAAAGTTAGGAGCATTGTTGTGTTTCGTAACTTGGAGGTAAGTGTCTACGCCATAATGTCGCTGCTGATCTATGGACCAATCACAGCGCGTAACGCGGGCGCTCCCGCGCCGAGCTGTCAAATTCACACTCCAACGACAGACCTCTTTTGCCTCCCGAACTATTAACTTGATTGCATTGTATTTATATTCAAACTTGGTAAATCTATAAACCTATTATTCTAAAATCAAATCCTTTTATTGTTCGACTAAATTCCCTGAACAGTAAGATAGCCAGTTCTTTAGTGATAGATTCCGGGTGAAGCTCGCTTCCTACTTCGGCCTGATATCGCTCCGGACGTTAAGAAGAAGCAGCTCAAGAAACCCAGTCACTTATGTAGATTCAAACCTCTAAACTAGCTTGCTAAAGAAATGATTCGCAAAAGATGACAAAAAGAGCGAGGATCGAATGAAGTTGGAGAAAGGTAAGTTTCTACAGGTATCATGAAAAAATCGAATGCATGGCTGCAGTCCTATTTGCTAAGGACATATCCACAAAGTAAACATGCGATACGATTAATCGGTGGTGAGCCTGTAGTGTAGTGGACGCCAACTTAAAATGATTTGTTCGATTTAGGTGGCATATTTTGAAGACCAAAATTATGCAATAGCTTCTTATCAAATTGATAAACGAATAATATCTAAAAGATAATAATTTAAGTTTAGTATCAAATTCAATTAAAGAACTGTGTTTAACGTGCTATGTGTAAGTAAATCTAATAAAGTAAATATATTTACGAGGTATTCGGTACGCGTCAATAAATTATAGTGTCTTATCACCGTCTGATGGACGTATGTCCAGTGATACTAGTCCGACCCGTATTTTTAACGTTCTATTTTTAGTGCAGTTAGTGAATGAACCGCGCTAGTTCATTGACTAGTGCATGCCGATAGCTGCTATCTCTGTCGCCGCCTCCAGCTGCCCGGTGCCCTTGACTGGGAAGACTTACGCGTGCCCGTAATACGTTTGTCGATACTGGCCACACCGAAATGTCTATAAACATTACACGCGAACCGTGATTTAGTGACGCTAGAGTCTACAGTCGTATGGCATCGAATTTAAACAGATTCCGAAAAAAAATTGCTATTTTTCTATAACGCTAATTTTATGAACGCTGACCATGACATTTTTATCCATACAAGTCTTAACTAAGTGCTCTAGCATCCTGTTTTACTATACTGGATTTACCTGGGGCGGAATTTATCTAAGTATACGCCACTATTGATTTATGATAGACTAGCTTTTGCCCGCGGCTTCACCCGCGTGAAATTTAGTTTGTCACAGATCGTCATAAATTATAGCCTATATGTTATTCTGGGTTATAAACAATAATACTGTAAAGTTTCATCAAAATCCGTTCAGTAGTTTTTGCGTGAAAGAGTAACAAACATCCATACGTCCCGACATCCAGACATCCAAACTTTCGCATTTATAATATTAGTAGGAAGTAGGATACGGGTAAGGCAGATCTTGTAATAGCTAGGTGGTACATGTACCGGCTTAGTAATAGAAATATTAGAGTAATATCCGGCGTCTCGCAGCTTCGGCCCATCTACATATTACATCGGCCACACGCCTAAAGGAAATGATCGAAGACTACATCTATTGGTAGTTAGATAGGGCACTATAGGACGAAGATAAAATGAAAGAGTACAGTGCTAGTCTGGTGCGATAGCAAAAAGTACTAAACATTATGTTAAACTCGTTAGCTCGCAACCATGAGAGTAGCATTAAACTTAAATTCAAATTCAATAATTTATTTGCTAGAATACATATTATCACTTATCACATGCGCGTTTTACAAGTGTTTTATATAAATCTTATGATAAATTTAATTTTTCATGCAGTTGTTACCGGAAATGTGTATAATCCGGCATTTTATACAATACCTAGGCAATGCTTATAGTGCCTAAATTTCGTTAGCAATGCAATTAATCGGGCGAAAATCACTTGAGATTGCGTAATGTTTGATACAAAGCAATTCCGCAAGAGTCTATTAATTGTGCTATTAGTCATTGCTCAATCCAAACATTGCAGGCGACCTTGACCCTGGCCGGGAGAAGTAGCAAAACGAGCATACTTCATAAACGATAAATCGTTCTATACGTCCGGTTTGCATTACAATACTTTTACTTATTAGATTCTCTTCAAAGATCCTACCATAAATTATTAATGCGAAAGTTTGAGGATGTTTGTTACTTTTCACGCAAACATTACTGAACGGATATTGATGAACATTACAGTAGGTATTATTGGTTACACATCAGAATAATATAGAGGCGATGGATCAATTATAACGATACTAGCTTTCCGCCCGCGGCTTCGCCCGCGTGGAATTTTGTCTGTCACAGAAAAACTTTATCGCGCGCGTCCCTGTTTCAAAAACCGGGATAAAAACTATCCTATGTTCTTTCCCGGGACTCAAACTATCTCTATGCCAAATTTCATCAAAATCGGTTGCGAGGTTTAAGCGGGAAAGCGTAACAGACAGACAGACAGACAGACAGACAGACAGAGTTACTTTCGCATTTATAATATTAGTTGGGATGTGACATACTAAATTTACGCGGGCAGAAGTTAAGTTAGTAAATTATAGTTTTCTGTTGTCTGTTCGAAGGTTGTGCTAACTAATAATTAACTAATGATTTTACGCTTATTCAAACGCGCTGTTGTACATTAGTGTTCATTAAAATGACAAATACAGATCAAACGCCATTTATCGTTATCAGATAAGAAGCAGACAGTATCTAAGCTGAGGAGCGTGTGTGATAAGAACACAATTTCTTTCTTATATTAATAAGACAATAATTATTGTTTTAAGAACATGGATGTGGAATTCGCACATTGTTTCAAGATAATGAAAGAAAATTAACAGTTTTCCACTCAAAGTTAAGGTTTCACAAGAAATACTCGAGCACGTTTGTCCCATGGTAAAGTGACGATATGAAGCGTTGTTCTCGGTCAAGTCAATTTGGAATATACGTTACGTTTTTTAAACTTGCACCTCGGCTAATATGTAATAATTAAATTACATATTAGCTTGTTCGTGTCGCTGGATGATATCACAAGCGTAGATGGAGGAACCAAGAGTATTATATACGCTAATATGTATTATAAAGAGGAAAGATTGGATTTGTATTGAATAATCTCCGAAACTACAAGAGTCGAGCTAGACCCATTTGAAAAATTCCTTCACCATTATAATCCTACATTACTTATGATGAACATAGACAATACGAAGTTCGCCGAATCAGCTAGTAACTAAGAGTAAAACTTTCTTACATTGCGTTTAAAGATAAAGATATTTTTATTTACCAGATCATGTGTGACAATATTGCAATCATCATGATCATCATCATCATTTCAGCCTTAGGAAGTTAGGACGTCCACTGCTGAACATAGGCCTCCCCCAATGCTTTCCACGTATCCAATATTGCAATACAGAAATATATTTTTGTTGTTAGTAGGTTTTGTTATATTATTATTAGAGATGAAACGGATAGTAGTTTGGCCGGATACCGGATACCGGATATCCGGCCAGCTGCTAGGCCGGATAGCCGGATATCCGGCGGCCGGATAGTTGGCCCATTGTCTCGTTGCATGACGTGACGAGTTTAGCGCCGCACAGGTGCTTCAAACGCGATCAGTGGGTCTATTAGTAGACTAGACTAGTCACACTTTTCGAAAATCGAATCAGTCTGAATAGAATGTCAGATTTTGCCACTTGTCTAGGGGGCAGATAAATTCGGGCGATTTCGGTTGCCATATAATACGATTTTGCTTAGTTTAGGAGATACAGTTACTTTTGTGATATTTTAAAATTCTATGACCTAGTAGGGTTTAAAAAAATTTNGTTTGTCAGAGATCGTCATAAATTATAGCCTATATGTTATTTTGGGTTATAAACAATAATACTGTAAAGTTTCTTCAAAATCCGTTCAATAGTTTTTGCGTGAAAGAGTAACAAACATCCATACATCCCGACATCCAGACATCCAAACTTTCGCATTTATAATATTAGTAGGAAGTAGGATACAGGTAAGGTAGATCTTGAAATAGCTAGGTGGTAGGTACATGTACCGGCTTAGTAATAGAAATATTAGTGTAATATCCGGCGTCTCGCAGCTTCGGCCCATCGACATATTACATCGGCCACACGTTAGAAAGGAAAGGTAGCCCTTATGGGGCACTTTACATGTCTCCTTATCTTTTGGGCCCTACCAGCGCTTCGAGACAAACATATGGCTAGTGCTGAGAAGAAACGCCGGAACAAACTCAGTTTGTTACTTTTTCACGCAAAGATTACTGAACGGATATTGATGAACATTACAGTAGGTATTTATTGGTTACACATCAGAATAAAATAAGGACGATCGATAAATTATAACGATATGTGACATACTAAATTTACGCGGGCAGAAGTTAGTAAATTATATTAAATTATGTCTGTTCCAAGGTTATGCTAACTAATAATTAACTTATGGTTTTACGCTTATTCAAACGCCCTTTTGTACAGCGTTTAAGTGTTCATTAAAATGACAAATACAGATCAAACCCCATTTATCGTTATCAGATAAGAAGCAGACAGTATCTAAGCTGAGGAGCGTGTGTGTGATAAGAACACAATTTCTTTCTTATATTAATAAGACAATAATTATTGTTTTAGGAACATGGATGTGGAATTCGCACATTGTTTCAAGATAATAATAATTAAACAGTTTTCCACGCAAAGTTAAGGTTTCACAAGAAATACTCGAGCACGTTTGTCCCATGGTAAAGTGACGATATGAAGCGTTCGGTTCTCGGTCGAGTCAATTTGGAATATACGTTACGTTTTTTAGACTTGCACCTCAGGTTTAATTACTACATATTAGCTTGTTCGTGTCGCCGGATGATATCACAAGCGTAGATGGAGGAACCAAGAGTATTATCTATGCTAATATTATAAAGAGAAAAGATTGGATTTGTATTGAATAATCTCCGAAACTACTAGAGTCGAGCTAGACCCATTTGAAAAAATTCCTTCACCATTATAATCCTACATTATTTATGAGGAACATAGGCAATACGAAGTTCGCCGAATCAGCTAGTAACTAAGAGTAAAACTTTCTTACATTGCGTTTAAAGATAAAGATATTTTTATTTACCAGATCATGTGTGACAATATTGCAATCATCATGATCATCATCATCATTTCAGCCTTAGGAAGTTAGGACGTCCACTCCAATGCTTTCCACGTATCCAATATTGCAATACAGAAATATATTTTTAGTAGGTTTTGTTATATTATTATCAACATGTCTTACCGATATTCGGCGTGGGAGATTTCGGGCTCAATAAGCCACCAAAACGCTATAGGTGCGTTTGTTAGTTACTGACACAGATAGCTAACATTGACCTCGCTTATTTCAGAAGCAGCTATGCAAATAATCGCGTTCACTAGTATTCAGTACATTTTTCAGCTAATCTCATGCCATTGGCCAACAATGGCTCTAAACGGCAACAAATACGCCCGACCTTTGTTATTAGTAGCCTATTTACAGAGACGAACTCAAGTATTGCGTCCTAAGTTATTTTTCCATGCAAAAACAAGATTATTTTTATCAGTTGTTTTATAAATAGTAATCACATTCTGGAAAACAATTAGTAGGTTATAGATTTAAATATTTTCCATAACAATTTGCAATTTCCTGTTACCTTCAGGGCCGTTATTGATCATTTTCCAATTAGAGAAGCTATAAGGGATTTTTATTGTCCTACCCACAGATTTAATAGTTCATACAGCTTAATAAGCCATACATTTTCAATATAACCACTGGATAACTCCGAGTCCGCCCCTGTCCAAGCACTGCCCAAACAGTGCAGGCATCCTTGGCCGTAGCGCCGCGACACGCTCAAGGGAACCGCCTATTCTTGCACAATCTCCTTTTTTATTTGCATGTACACTTCTTCTTAGATAGTTAGTGACATGTTTAGTGTTAGATTGTATTTATTTTTATTGGCTTTCAATACCAGATAATCAATTTACCAAATAAATTTTAATACCGGCAACAAGTTGGGCCGCTTGCTCAATCGTAAAATTGTTTTAAATAGAAAGAACTTGTTTGAAGAAAAATAATGCATATCCAGGAAATATAATAGACCACAGGCACAGGGACGAGTACGGCTGTCAACGACATCATAGTACTTTTTAATTGCTATTTTTTGCGAACGTGCTCACGTGGTGAAACGCGAAGGCTGCCAATGACAATGAGATGCGACATCGACAAACTTTTCCTTATCCACTTTGTTATTGAGTTCCACTGATTAATAATGTACATAGCTACGCATAAGTAAGGCAGGCTACTGTTGCCTGTGCAAGAAGTTACGGTTTTATTGTTCTTATTTATTTGTATCATTATGGCTGGATTACAGCATCTTACTTTAACATTGACAATAATCAAAAATCTGTCAAACTCCGTACAAAAAACAACCGTTATCGTTAAAGTTACGGTCAAAAGGTGAAGGTGGTGCAACTTAGCCTATGTGTCAGGACGGTAGTTCCCCGAAATTCTCAGTCTATCAGACAATTCTAAGAATGATTAACGGCTCATTTCTAGTAGTGTGGTGTTGTGTAAGTGAATCATTACCTGATTAGTGATGTCGTAGACGACGATAGCTGCCTGCGCGCCTCTGTAGTACATTGGCGCTAAGCTGTGATACCTGCAACGGAGAGACACGTCTTAAGACTCACTTAAGGATTAAATCACTAAAGCTATGCAAAATTTTCTTTGGAAATCTCATCATCATCATCATCTCAGCCACAGGACGTCCACTGCTGAACATAGGCCTCCCCCAATGCTTTCCATGTTGCCCGGTTGGTAGCGGCCTGCATCCAGCGCCTTCCTGCTACCTTTATGATGTCGTCGGTCCATCTTGTAGGGTGGACGTCCCACGCTGCGTTTTCCGGTATCTTTGGAAATCTATTATTTTATTTAAATTCGCAATAGTCGGACTCAAGTTTTAGAAAACACTAGAAACAACAATAAAATAATGAATAAAAGGAAGACAAGAAACATGCGACGTTCTGAACACGGGATTAAGATTCATTGTTGGTTTCCTATCCTACATTGTAGACATGAGATTTAAAATTATAACATTATTCATGGTCAAGTGACAGTTGTTGCATTCGAGTCGTTTATTCACTAAGCATTAGAAAAACAATGAATTCATTCCATGAGGCAGTGGAACCATATCTCCAGACTCCAATTGCAATAATGTTGGACAACCTGCCTTTCAGACAATAATTAATGTCCTAATTTGCACTTCCACAAAATCCTACTTCCTACTAATATTCTAAATGCGAAAGTTTGGATGCCTGGATGTTAACATGTTTGTTTCTCTTTCACGCAAAACTATTGAACGGATTTTGATGAAACTTTTCAGTATCATTGTTTATAACCCAGAATAACATATAGGCTATAATTTATAACGATCTGTGACAAATTAATTTCACGCAGGTGAAGCCGCGGGCAAAAGCTAGTGTGCTAATATGTGCTTCCACAAAATAGGTTACATGTTTTGCCAAAACGGAATTTTAATGACACACAAATACCCGAAATCTGACGATAAGAATTGGAATTGAAACTCACATGAGTTGTGTACCAATAAAATGTAATAATGATAACACTGATAGTGGCCACGCACTGTTAATTCAATATTATAATTGTTTTAGACAGGTCATGCTTTTTTATCTAAATATCTAATAGTATAGAGACAATTTATAAATTCAAATTACCTGTATATTGAATGACTTTCAAGTATCATTCAATTTGTATTTGTCATACATGTATTTATAAGGCTATTTGTTTATTGGGCTTACAAAATAGAATGGCAATCAGCACGAAGAAAAATAATAAATAGACATTATCCTCAAACAAATTTCCTTTATCATATGACCCAGTCATTGGAATGAGCCGACATATTTTTTGTTTTTGATGACCTAACTAAACATTTTGTACAGTCAACTTTTCTCCTCCAGACACCACCTCTGATACCAGACATATCTAAGCTTAATTATACATAGATTATGTATCATTTAGGAGATTGTCACACTGCGCCGCGCTCCGCGTGATTTCATATAAAAAATCCCGCGCGCAGACCGTTGTCAGTGTATTGTGCCGCGCGTGTTTTCTATACAAACTGAGGTACTTGCATACAATGATTAAATCCCGCGTACCGCGGCGGAGAGCGGCGCAGTGTGATAATCGCCTTATGGTTATGCAATAAAAATGTTTAGTAGTCAGTTTCAAATAGTTCGTGGACACCCTTAGATTAATGGTGACACCCTAATAGCTGAAAAGTTCGCAACATGTCTTTGTTATGATTCAACCACACCAACACGTGCAGATTGCCATCGCGCCGCGCAATCATGACAGGTCGCGTGAACTGTCATGGATCGCACGACCTGTCATTGGCCTATGATCGCGCCAGCGATGGCGATCTGCACGCGTTGGTGTGGTTGAAGCTTTACAATAGGAATAAGGTTGTTGCACATTTTTGGCTACTATGAAGGTCACTAACTATTTGACGCTGATACATTAAATCGTGTTCCATACCTCTCTTGTCCCGCCGTGTCCCATATCTCGAACTTGACGGTGGTGTCATCGAGGCACACGGTCTGCGTGAGGAAGGCGGCGCCGATCGTGCTCTCCTGGTACTCGTGGAACTGGCCCTTGACGAAGCGCAGCACCAGCGACGACTTGCCCACGGCCGACTCGCCCAGTAGCACCAGCTTGAACTGGCACACCTTGGTCTGCGGCGCGCCGTTCGGACGCTGCGCCCCGCTTCTGTTTGTCGCCATCGCCTGTACACAATACTTTGTTAAGACAATATTTATCATCAACTAGCGGCCGCCCGCGACTTCGTACGCGTGGATCCCGTTTTACCCCCTTTTCCCGAATTTTCTTTGCTATAAACCTCACAGAGCCCGAGACCTTTCCAACGAATGCAAAACCGTGGAAATCGGTTCGTGCGTTCTGGAGTTATAGCGTCAGGGAGGAAAACCCGACTTATTTTTATATCATCAATAAACTTTTTTATCCGTTACGCGGCCTCCGCAAGCGCTGGACGCAGGGCGCTACCAATCGATCAACATGGAAAGCATTGGGGGAGGCCTATGTTCAGCAGTGGACGTCCTATGGCTGAAATGATGATGATGAACTTTTTTTTAAGGCACGCGCTTTTAGCTTTAAGAGCTTTTCCAGCTTCATCAGGCCGAGTGGCAAGTACAGAAGGTACTCTAGCCGTTTGGCGATCGTCGGTGCGCGTGCCGACGAGGCCGAGTGTGGGCTTCATTCTAATCGTAAGTTCAGATGGTCAATGGTTTAGCCTAGGCCCAGACCATCAACTTTTAGTTGGCCGATAGTTGGGCCCGATTTTAATATGTATGAAGAATCGGCCGAAAAAAAGTCGGTGGTATGCGCCTAGGCTTACTTGAATATGTATGTAATTTAGAATCTAAACCTAAGGGCTAGTCACGTGTGAATGGGCGTCTTCTGGGCAGGCCCCATTTAGCGTTAATCGCATTTGAACATAAAAGGCTCTAGGGCCTACAGCCTTGAACTTGTTTACTTTGGAGAATCTAGTCTAGACAAGGTCTAGTCAAAGCAAACTAGTGAAGTCATTAGGGCGAAATTTGTCAAAAGCACAGGGTTGTACAATTAGTATTGATGACTGCTTGTTGGACTGATGACCTCGAAAAGGTAAACAAAGAAGTTGGTCATCCCCAGAAGTGGATTGATAAGATTAATTTACATACACAAAGACCTAGTAGATAAGTGGTTTTTTATTTTTATCAAAATAGTACAAGAATGCTATTATATTATAATCTGTTAATTAAACCTAAAGTATTTATATACCTAACTTAATTATGAGATTTAAGGTAAAGTCTATAATGTCTGGACAGGGGAAATAAGTAATATAATTTATTCTGCTGGAATGTTTTCTTGGTTGTATCTCTTAGGTACATCAAGACAAATTAGAAAGTAAGTAAACAAAATAATTTCTAGATCCAAAAACCTAATGAAAACATGGTGAAGCACAATGACCATACAATAACAACACAGAAGTATTTGTTTTTTATGAAGTTGTCACCATCAATCACCAGTGTGAGCATAACAAATACGGCAATAACCTAACACTGCAATTCTTTTGTAAATATGTTTATCTCTCTACAGCTCTGAGACATTCAACTTCAGGATTTAATGGGCTGATAACAGTAAGTAGTACAAAGTTCTGATAAAAATGAGACTACATTTTATTGTTAGGTACAACATATGGATCATTTTTACAAACATCCCATGACTATATTTGCGAAAAAATCATAAATAACAAGACAAGTAACATTCAACTGCATGTAAAAAGACATTTTTCAATGCCATGATTTCAAAATCTTTTTCTATTCAAGCAAAATCATCTATCTGCACAAATACAAATGTGAATCAATAAAATATTGTCATTATGACCACAATTCCACTCAAAATTTCGTTATGAATATGAATTCAGTGTATTTTAAATTGCAAGCACATTTCTGTGGTTTTATTTAGTTATTGCGAAATAAATTCATTGTTGTAGATAAATAATGTAAATATAATAAGTTGGTTACATACATTTTCACTATCTATTTCGTTATCATTACAAAAAGAACCTTCCCTCAACTAGAAACAATGAAAAATTCACAAAATCTGATAAGTAGTTTACAGTAAATGATAAAAATAAATCAAGGAACGTACAATCAGATTCTCCAACCGCCAGTGACACAAAAACACAGTTTGACACCATTTACATAGAATAATAAGGAAGTGATGTTACACTTCATGAACTTCTCACAAACTGGAAGTGGTGAGCTCTTTCCAGAGCTCGAGCTCGCGACTGAGCGCGAACGGTAAACAACGACGTTATCTTCGCCTCGACAGCGCTCATCACAAAGAAACAAAAGGTGTAACAACCGCACTATCTGATATTATTTCGCGCAGTTCGCAAAACCTACATATTACATTTATCGGCCAAACATCAAAATGTGCCTGTTGTGATGATGACTAACCACGTCTGCCCCTATCAGACGGTTTCCTTCACATCTGACCACTTAAAATTGACCATTTACGCCCTCATCCAAATCAGCTGGAGGTCATAAAATCACTCAAAATAACCACTCTCAGTACCAATTACATTTCGAATTTTAAGAATTTATTCAGACCAGCTTCAACACTATTAATTAAGCTTCAGTGTCTACAATATTCAATAAAATGACGCATTTACTAGATTATAGTCGACATGAAAGACGTACCCTCCCTGTTATTATATCGCCGTTATGCACTTTTCCTTGGGCGATAAATCCTTATAACGTCGCCGTGATGCCGAAAATTTCATTAATCACACACTGCTATGAATAAACATAAAATCTGAACGATAAATCTTCAAAATCTAGCACAAAAATGCAAAATTACCACGAACAAACATGGAAGCGAGAGAGCGAGCGAGACGTTTCACAAAAATTGTCTATGGAAGAGCATACGTCACATAAGAAAAAAAGTTAGTAAGTTTATGGCAAACAAAAAAAATGTACACTTACTTAAGGTTGGCGCGTATCTTGTGCATGCTAGTAATAACTTGTTTGAATAATTTTATTTATCTCAAAACCAATGATCTCAAAACACTTGAATAATTTTAAGCTTCACGTTGTACTTCGGAGGAATAGGTCGCTCAAGGCAAGGAGAGTTGAGGTTGAGGCTTGCTTGAGGCCATCAACAACCAAACAAAGATTTTAACAATGATAAAAGCGTGGTAGCCATAACATAAGTGGTGCTAGTGGTGGGTGGGCCCCGATTGCGCTAAAAGCTAAAAGTTATCAACTGCAACGCTCTGGATGACGAACGAAAATCGGTTATGGCAGTAATGTAGTACGCGTCAACCTTAAAAAAGTGTCTTGCTTTGTCTAAGTTCTCTGTGGCCATTAATGTCAACAATTTTGTTGCTTCGTTCTTGCTTCGTCTGTGGTCCAAACTGTCAAAAGTTTTCAAAACTATTTTTCTGTGATTTTTTCACTTTCTTTCTTCGGTGGATTGGCGGTATTGCTAAAAGTTTTATCCCAATTAATCTACTATTTTTCAACGGCCTTATTGTAAAAGTGCTTCGATAGATTTGTTCTTGCAAATGATAAAATGGCAGTACCAAGCACCGATTGGCAGTTAGGATGCATGCAACTGAAGCAACGGGGAGCCCATCTCTTACAGACCGGCCAGTGGGCCGACTGTGTGTTCATGGTGGGCGCTCCACCTCGTCAGGTCACTGTCACCGCTCACAAACTGATCCTGGCCAGCGCTTCGCCGGTCTTCGAAGCGATGTTCTTCGGTGGCATGGCGGAGCGTGACGGGCCCATACCCATATTAGATGTTCATCCGGACGCCTTCAAATCCTTGCTACAGTAAGTATCACTTACGTATCACCTATTTGTTTTATAAAAGTAATGGTGTGTGAGATTTTATTATGATGCAATAGTTTCATACTTTTTTTAAGATGATATACCTAGAAACGACTTACCATTTCCGTGTGGATTCATGTATTATATTCTTACCCACAACCTTAAACATTTACAGATATATTTACACGGACAAAGCAGAGCTGGGCTCGTTCGAGATGGCATGCTCAATATATTATGGAGCCAAGAAGTACATGCTGCCGTATCTAGAGAAGGAATGCACATGGTTTATTTCCCTCAACCTGCGTCCGAAGAATGTGTGTCGAGCTTACGAGCTGGGGCAGCTGTTTGATGAGACCTTGTTGATGGAGAAGTGTCTCAAGGTATTCAAACAAAATTTTTTCAAGTCTCATTTGATTCAAAGTTTTCCTAGTCAGAATGTATCACAAAGGTGACAGTTTATTCTCAGCACAAGCCCATATGTTATTCCGAAGTGGTGGTAGGGCAAGCTATAATTGAGACGTGTATAATAAGTACCCCGGAAAGAGCCTAAGTACTGAATAAAATCTTTGACTGAAATCTTTCAATGATTTCTTTTCAGGTAATGGAAAATCAAACCAAAGAAGTTGTAAACGCTGCGAGCTTCCTGGACGCGGACTTGTCAACAATAAACAAGATACTGTCCCTCGAAAGCCTGAACATCGAGAGTGAGCTGGATCTCTTCCGGGCCTTAGAGAAGTACGCTAAAGTCCACATGAAGGGGAACTTCTACAAAAGACCCTCGTTGAGCTTTAGTGACTCCATCAGAAGTAGTCCCCCTAAAAAGATTAAAATGGATAACAGTGATGCTGAGAAGGTATATAATTTATTTTAGAACTTAAGAATATCTGCATGAAAAATGCAATGCTTTGTCTCTTTCTGCTTGATGTTAATTTTGCTGAGATGAAAAGAAACAAAAAAGTGCAGTCTATTTTCATGTATAGTTTTGTTCAGTGACAGCATCACAGAACATTGCTTTAAGTCTTGGGGCTGATTGCAAATGAAAACAGCAAAAAAAAGTTATGATCAGATCAGAAATATTGTAGAGTAGGTACCTAAAAACTTTGAAAACACAACAACAAAACAATTACTAAAGTTTCTGCTTTTTTGTTATCTTACAGACACAGAATATAACAAATTTTGTAGAACAAATAGACAAACCAATGGGACTTCCTGTAAAGTCTGAAACCGTAAAAGACGTGCCCAACAGTGAGACAGGGGAGGTGTCCATCAAAATGTCTGAGTCTTACTGTGAAAAGCAGACCAGTTTGGACACTTATAATGATGAAAGTATGAACAGTTCACAAGAGAGTTTAGGTGAGTTTATACAAAAAACAAAAGTCATCATTATTTTTACATTCTGATAAAAACTGTATAAGGGCTACCTTTTATTTTTTTATTATTATTATATTTTCACGTTCATAAGTGCCACTTGTGGTCTAAACTGAATATATAGTTATTTTTGATTTTTTTTTTTAATTATATTTTTTTGTTTATTTCTCTCAACTCAAGATAAAATGTCCACTGCTGGACAAAGGGACTTCCACAATGACCGGTCCTGCGCTGCTGGTATCTAGGTATTTCCTCCGACCTTCACCTGATTGTTGTCTACCCACCTAGTGAGGCTTGCCCACACTATTTGTTTTCTTATGGGAGGCCTTTCTCCAGTAGTGGAGGTCATTTGGCTGAAACAAACGAAACTACTTTCAATCTAATGCACAAAAACACATTTGCATACATTTTGTATCCAACAATCACTAGTAGTGTAACAAATGACAATATGAGGGTAGTTGAAAATATTCAAATATTGTTATGTTACAACTTTAAGGCCCTGTAACTTTTTTATTTGTAGAGATATTTTCATGATTCTTTTACAGACATTATTGGTTTTACTTATACATATTTTCAAGTTTTATTAATAGAAAAAAAAAACTCAAAATAAAATAGTAAGACACGGGTCTTAACGCGCACCGCTTGACGTTTCGGCTGCGATGCGTCGCGTTAGGGCTATATTTCACCGGGACACCATGGCGGCGCAACCAGTCGCCGGCTACCAACAAAATGTATGCAGCTCTATAGAGAGTTACTCACCTGGTGTCCGTTTGGTTGCGCAAAGCTGCATACATTTTGTTGGTAGCCGGCGACTGGTTGCGCCGCCATGGTGTCCCGGTGAAATATAGCCCTAAGACCCGTCTTACTATTTTAGATGAAATGGAACGCGTAAGTTTAAAATCTTACATTTCAAAAAAAACTTCTTCATTCTTCCTCAGAGCTGTCGTCGCTCCGGAGCGCGATCGGCAAAGTTCGCTTTCTGACGATGTCGCCGGCGGCATTCGCGGCAGGGCCCGCGCGCTCGCCGCTGCTCAGCGAGCCTCAGTGTTTCGCGCTGCTTATGCACATCGTATCTACCGACTCAGACGTGCCCATGCCTGAGGGATTCTCGACTAGCAGGGTGGCGAGGAACCAGGTGAGGTGAATGATTTGTTACATTTATTGCAGGCAATTTTATATTCTAGTTTTTGGCCCTGTTTCTACCAAGGCAGAACAGAGCGGAGCGGGGAGAAGTGTCTTTAATGATTCTCCGAAATTCTATAGAAAAATTTGACGACCCGACTCAGGGTTCCTCAGCCATTGGTCGGTACGGGTGTCGAGCGAAAGCTCATAACCCGAGCTTCTTCTCGGTCAGTTATTGCTGCTGTCCGGTGGTGGTGGTATCGCTTGCGCGACGCACTTAGGCGGGTTTTAGAATCGCGCTGACCGCTCGCTGATCGTCGGCGCTGACAAATCAATATGTATGTAATTGAAGGGAACGTTCCTGAGTGACGCTGATCGCTCGGGCCCTGACGCTTCATACATTTCGGCTGTCAGCGCTGACGGTCAGCGTGCGTCAGCGTGACTCTAAAACCAGCCTTACACACTTCTCCGCTCGGCCCGCGCTCGCCGCTGCTCAGCGAGCCACAGTGTTTCGCGTTGCTCATGCATATCGTCTCTACGGACTCTGACGTGCCCATGCCTGAGGGATTCTCGACTAGCAGGGTGGCGAGGAACCAGGTGAGGTGAATGATTTGTTACATTTATTGCAGGCAATTTTATATTCTAAAGCCCGGTCTGTGAGCACGTAGAATTTTGCAAGCTACCCATCCTTATCGCTCGCGCTCGCACACTCGACTATAGCATTAGGCCCGGTTTCCACCAAGGCCGTGCAATCCCACTACCACCCATGGCTATACCAACCTCGCAGTTATTATGACCGAATTGTGAGAGATTCACGCGGATGCCTCTGCTAGGCAGTTGGCACTACACCGCGTGCAATGCTTGACTCTTTACGAGGGCGGCACTGAAAATTTCGGGAATCAAGGAAGTGAAACAACATTACTATTTAAAAATGTATTTATTGCTTTTTAAAGTATTCTCCACGAAATTTGACANACCCTGATTCTGATAAAAACTGTATATTTTTTTGTTTATTTCTCTCAACTCAAGATAAAATGTCCACTACTGGACAAAGGGACTTCCACAATAATCGGTCCTGCGCTGCTTGTATCTAGGTATTTCCCCCAGCCTTCACCAATCGTTGGTCTACCCACCTAGTGAGAGGCCTGCCCAGTGTCCACACTACTTCTTTTCTTATGGGAGGCCTTTGTCCAGTAGTGGAGGTCAATGACTTCCACATCGCACGGTTGTTAGCGGCCTGCATCCAGCGCCTTCCTGCTACCTTTATTAGAGCGTTTTCCGGTACGCGGATTCCATTCCAGAACATTGCTGCCCTTGCGATGTTTTTTAATTTTATAGAAAAATTTGACGACCCGACTTCCTACTAGTAGTGTAACAAATGACAATATGAGGGTAGTTGAAAATATTCAAATATTGTTATGTTACAACTTTAAGGCCCTGTAACTTTTTTATTTGTAGATTCTTTCACAAACATGATTGGTTTTACTTATATTTTCAAGTTTTATTAATATAAAAAAACTTAAAATTGTAAGACACGGGTCTTAACGCGACGTTCATTATTGAGTTACATTATGTACTCACGGCTCGACGTTTCGGTTGCGATGCGTCGCGTTAAGAGTGTCTTACTATTTTTTTTTTTTTATAATAAATCTTTGGACAATGTCACACAGCGCCAGCTAGCCCCAAAGTAAGCTTAATGCTTGTGTTATGGGTGCTAGCTTAACGGATATACTACTTATATACTTTTTTTTAAATACATAAATATTATACATAGTCACACCCAGACCCGTCACAGAAATTAAAATTCATCATTTCAATTTCTGCCCGGCCGGGAATCGAACCCGGGACCTCTCGGCATAGTAGTTCGTTCTGAACCACTACACCAAACGGCCGACAGAATTATTTTAGTTGAATGGAACGCGGAAGTTTAAAATCTTACATTTCAAAAAAACTTCTTCATTCTTCCTCAGAGCTGTCGTCGCTCCGGAGCGCGATCGGCAAAGTTCGCTTCCTGACGATGTCGCCGGCGGCATTCGCGGCCGGGCCCGCGCGCTCTCCGCTGCTTAGCGAGCCGCAGTGCTTTGCGCTGCTTATGCACATCGTATCTACGGACTCAGACGTGCCCATGCCTGAGGGATTCTCGACTAGCAGGGTGGCGAGGAACCAGGTGAGGTGAATGATTTGTTACATTTATTGCAGGCAATTTTATATTCTAAAGCCCGGTCTGTGAGCACGTAGAATTTGTCCAATGACCCCAAGCTACCCATCCTTATCGCTCGCGCGTAATTATATTGCTGTCGCGACTGTGCGACGGGCGGCTGCCGGGAGTTTGCGAGCGCGAAAGATGTAGAAAATAAAATGGGATTGTAAAGAAAGAGATGTTTACTTTTATTGACAGCCTTAATCACATGTCAAACCAACAAAAATATAAAATCATTCGTCCATCGACAAACTCAAAAAGAGGTTTTGTATAATTACGCGCGAGAGATAAGGATGGGTAGCTTGGGGTCATTGGACAAAATTCAACGTGCTTACGGACCAGACTATAGCATTAGGCCCGGTTTCCACCAAGGCCGTGCAATCGCACCACCACCCATATGGCTATACCAACCTTGCAGTTATTATGACCGAATTGTGAGAGATGCACGCGGATGCGTCTGCTTGGCAGTTGGCACTACACCGCGTGCAATGCTCGACTCTACTACAAGTTTTTATCTACCAAGGCGGAGTAGAGCGGAGAAGTGTTTTGAATAACCAATCAGATTTCATTATTGCCTGTCCTCTCCGCTCCACGCCGCTGCTATAGCTATATTCTATAGAAAAATTTGACGGCCCGACACTTCGACGCTCTGCTCCGCCTTGATGGAAACTGGGCCTTACTGGCCTTAGGGAGGTAGACTCTCTGCTCCACGGACGGATTCCAATGTGCCCATTCGGCACATACATAAGGTCTAGAGATGGGTTATACTAGGTAAATTTGATACTAGGTGCACCTATTCCTAGTATTTATTAATACTCGATCCAAATACCTGTTCCACCTAGTACGTAGTAACTTAGCATACTTGACGCGACTAGTGCGGACTAATCCACGTAAAATGACTTTAAAATACAAATTTCTTTGAAAAGATATAACCGTAGTATGAATAATGCAATTTGAAATTGAATAATAATTCCTCCCTTCATACTTCAACAGGCTTAGGACTGTCAACTTAAAAGTTGGCGTATTTAAAAGATATCAATTTGTTTGGTCAGACAGAGACGGAGTGAATCTCTACGTTCGCACATAAGCTTAGCGAGAAATACTAGGTGCGCGTAATACACGACTACGGATTACGCAATAATAACCTCTATTACTTTGACGGTAGGGTCGGAAATCGTGTAATTTATAAAATACTAGGTGGATCAAGTGTTTAAAAAATTGGAATAGGTGCCGCCTAGTACTGTAAAATACCTAGTGTGTGGATCTGTTCTAGTAAATACGTCTCATCTCTAATAAGGTCGCTTACTCCGCAGCAAAACCTGATGCCCGAGGAGTCGTCGTCGAAGTCGGAGGCGGTGTTCCGGTTCACGGTGCTCAACTTCAAGACGCGGCGGCGCTCGGTGGAGTCGCGGCCCTTCCACTTCCACGAGCTGCCGTGGAGCATCAAGATGGTGCCGCGGTTTGAAAACACCACCAGCTTCTCGGAAAGCAAGTTCTTTGGACTGTATCTCAGGTCAGTTGCTTTTTGATGTCCATAATTTGGTAATATTTCAACGGTTTCTTCTTTACACCATATTTAATTTTAATGGACACGAGTAATGGACAACATAAATGACTGTCACGCAACCATATTTTGACAGAGTCGTCAGTCGTTCATCTCAAATATTCTGAAATTATGTTGGTATTTTCCAAAATACATTATTAGGAATTTACCTAAACTATGAGATACTATGGTTTTCTATTCCAACAAATTCTTCAAGTTTCAAGACATGTGGTCAATGTTCTTCCTGTGATGCATGTAAAACAATGCCTCGGGTCATGATGTGCTATGAAAAGATTATTATTATTTGATATACGATCATCTCATGATATTGACTTATATCCAGCCACCAAAAATTACGGAGGTATAAAATTCAGGAGAAACGTATGGCGCATATTTTCAATTTGATTTTCCTCAAATATATCACGGAATTTAAAGCTGATTTTTTTATACAATTTTATTAAATGTCAGAAAAAAACAAAAATCACAAAAATCATTTTTCCTAAATAACTGAATGCGTTTACGAAGCACTTAATACGCTTATTACGTGTAGTTTTTTAAGAGCTCTATGAAGTATTATAATAATTCTGAATTAAATGTTATTAGTTAACGAGTGAGAATATTTTTGCATAATTTTGAAGTAAAAAAATAGGTAACTTTGAATTTTTATACCGCGAAAACTACGTGGAATTTTCAAACGGGAGTTTTACTATCATGTTTGTATAACTGAGCTCTATACGTTTCATCAAATCAATGAGAATGTCCGATTATACAATCCCATAACACACTGTGCGTTGGATAGAGCTCGTGAAGCACTTTCAGGATCAATAACCAACCAGTTTTTAAATAATCGAGTGAGATCACTTATCGTTTCCACCCTGTACCTGTACTAGCTGTGCCCGCGATTTCGTACGCGTGAAAACCCGTTTTCGCAACATTTTTCATTGTTGCTCTGCTCCTATTGATCATAGCGTGATGTTGTATAGCCTATAGCCTTCCTCGATAAATGGGCTATCTAACACTGAAAGAATTTTTCAAATCGGACCAGTATTTCCGGAGATTAGCGCGTTCGAGTAAACAAACAAACTCTTCAGCTTTATAATATTAGTATAGATTTACCTATTGTTGTGCCGCAGATGCGAGGGCATCAAGGACAGCCAGTGGGCGGTGTCGGTGCGCGCCGAGCTACGGCTGGTGGCGCAGGCGCCGCGCGCGCGGAACATCGCCATGCAGATACACAAGACCTTCACCAAGTAAGCCCGACCTTAACACAAGTGGATAAGGCTCAAATCATGGTGGCAATATGCTTATGTACTCATAAGAGTTAAGGTAGCATTCGGATCAAGACGACCACGACGCGAGATCGCGACTCGAGACCGCGACCGGCGACCGCGACCCACTGCTTTATATGAATTAATAGGAAGTGCTGACGGATGCAAGCAACCGAGTCGCGCGACGTGTGGGCGTGGCCTGCCGGCTACTTGCGTCGCGCGACTCGGTCGCTCACAAGGCAGTGCCGTGGCGCGACAGATGCAAAATGGCCGTGTTTTCTTCGCACGAAGACGAAATTTTAATAGAATTAGTAAGTTTCGTATGGGTCGCACGACTCGTGTCGCGAAGATTCGTAAGTAGCTGTCGCCCTGCGACCTGCGACCGGTTGCCTGTCGCGGTCTCGGGTCGTGGTCTTTCGTCGCGGTCGTCTTGATCCGAATGCTATCTTTAGGCTTAATGAGGGTTTTCGCGAATGAAAAATCCGCCAGATGGCAATACGTAGACGCGAGGTCCAAATGCTGCATGATTGGTTATTTTTGACATGACATTGACAGATATGTCAAAATCTACCAATCACGCAGCAGTCAGACCCCACATCCACGTCCCGCCATCTAGCGGATTTTTCATTCGTGAAAACCCTCATTAAGTGGGACTTTCAGATATGTCCGTTTAATTACTGTTCTGAGATTCTTCTTCTTCGTCGCTATACTCTTGCCAGAGTGGTCGTGGTCGTGTTCTAAGATACGGTGTAAAAAAATAATACTTACTGGATGTTAGATTTATAGACCACGCATCACGTGACTACATCCCTCATGAATCTATTTATTAACTTGATTATTATGGAGTCTTAATTCATCCTCTAAGTATTTGACGGTGAATGGAGTTCACGTAACTTATCTCTGGGCAAAAGATAAAGGGATGAGCGGTGTCGCCTTACGTCGACGCAACGCAACGTCCTGAATGCGTTCTGGCACTGACATGTCGTAACGCAATGCAGGCCGCTATCAACCGGGCATTGTGGAAATAATTGAGGAGGCCTATGTTCAGCAGTGGACGTCCTGCGGCTGAAATAGAATAGAATAGAAAGTATTTATTGGTCTCAAAACAGGTTTCATTTACAGTTTTTCACAGATACAAAAATCATAAGAGACAAAAAGGTCTATGACTCAGTGATTGCAGGAGACCCACAAACCCTGTTATTCTGCCATAGCCAAGATATACATAAGTAAATAAATATTAATTTATACTTAAAATTACAATTTCCTAAAATTACAAATTGCTATGTGAACTTATAATTAGCCAGTGCCAGCGATTGCTCTTGAAGCAGCCAGTTGCGACATCTTTTGCGGTAGCAAATGATGATGATGTCGCAACACAAAGGCGCTTGCTGCGCTTTTTTTTAATTCTTTCAATGCCTTCTACCCCCACAGCAAAGAGAACGAGTGGGGCTTCAACCGCTTCGTGAACTGGACGGACGTGATGGATTCGGAGCGCGGGTTCCTGCGAGGCAACGCCATCGAGATCGAGGCGCACCTCGTGGCCGACGCCGCGCCCGCTTCAGGCCACGCCCCCTCGCTGCCAGGCCCCGCCCCCTCGCCGCCAGGCCCCGCCCCCACGCTAAACCCCGCCCCACCTGTGACTACACCCTAGGTAAGTTGCTATGCCGTGAGGCCGTCTCTCGTCTCCACACGATCCCAACCTATCTCCTTGATCACACGTACCGAGCTTGCCCATGCTGCCAGGCCCCGCCCCACCTGTGACTACACCCTAGGTAAGTTGCTATGCCGTGAGGCCGTCTCTCGTCTCCACACGATCCCAACCTATCTCCTTGATCACACGTACCGAGCTTGCCCATGCTGCCAGGCCCCGCCCCACCTGTGACTACACCCTAGGTAAGTTGCTGTGCCGTGAGGCCGTCTCTCGTCGTCTCCACACGATCCCGGTCTATTCCACTTTGATCACCTGGCTTTGATGACCCAGGTGATCAAAGTCCACTTCCAGCGACAATTTAGTGTCCTTTGATCACCCACGGATATGTGCCCTGGGTGATCAAAGTGGACTCCAGTTAAATTATTATTTTAGTGTCCTTTGATCAGCTACATACAAATCACACCTCCTCTGAATAGACACGGTAAGTACTAACATTTTCTTAATATAGACAATTTTTTTAACAGTTTTTACGGTTTACATTTTTATTTATATTTTAAAGCGTTACTTACCTAAACATTGTTTGTCCGTACATTAAGTATAAGAGGAGGTGTGATTTGTAAGTAGGTGATCAAAGGACACTAAAATAATAATTTAACTGGAGTCCACTTTGATCACCCAGGGCACATATCCGTGGGTGATCAAAGGACGCTAAATTGTCGCTGAAAGTGGACTTGATCACCTGGGTCATCAAAGCCAGGTGATCAAAGTGGAATAGACCACGATCCCAACCTATTTCCTTGATCACACGTACCGAGCTTGATCAAACGGGCGAGACAGTACTCAGTGTGTATGAAACGTTACGGCGAGTGCGCTTGGTCGAGTTTTTGGAGCGACAGATATCTACTCAACGACTGACCTGACTTTCTCGGCTACGTATCATTTTACTGTCTCACCCGTTTACTCGGTAGCCTTGATCACACCAAAATGTTTACTCGGTCGAGACAGTTGGGTGAGCGAGTCACATACTCGAGCGCTCGGCCGAGCACTCGGCGTAATGTTCATACACACCGAGTACTCGGCCGAGAGCACTGCCTCGCCCGTTTGCTCGGTACGTGTGATCAAGGCTTATGTTCCAAACGTTGGACGAGTGAAGTCGCGCTCCACTCGTCCAACGTTTGGATCTAGAAAACTTGTTCCGACTATTGCTAGGACTATTTTCTACGTACGTATCATACGTTGGAAGAAAGGAGTTGGGATCAACGTGTGGCGCCGTGTGATGTCATACTTATAGAACAGAGTTTTAAAAACTTAATCCCACCGGGAGGGGTGGGATTTACAGTATTATTAGCTGACAAATTACAAGTTTTTAAAACCCTGTTCTCTGATTTAAAACATGGTGCAGCCCTAGAAAATACAAAATAAATAATGTATGGCAGCATCTAGATTATTCATAATAAAGGCTGCGATACGATTGTCTATACTGTGATTCCAATAAGGTTGATTCAGATTCGTAGTTCACACAAGTCGATCTCTAATGATGAGCGTAACTTTGTGCCTAATGAAAATTTCCAGTTTTAGTTATAATGTTGATTTTTATACGAATTTTATAATTATTGTTTAAATTTGTGATACTTTTATAAATAGATATTAGTAGGTATTGAGATGAGACTGATAAATAATTTACTTTATGTTGTCGATGTTTGATTGTATGTTAGAGCCATAATTGATATTATTTTTCGGTTGGAATTGATCTCTTTACTAAAATATTGCCTTTAAAACCTAATAAAACATTGTGATAGTTTTAATGTGAATTTGCCGTTATTTGTTTGTTGTATCTTATTATGGGGTTTAATAAATACGTTGTGTTCCCCCGAATTCGTTTACTAGATGATAAGACAAAGAATGTGAGAGTACAAAATATTTTTATTATAATACATAATGCGAAAGAGGTCTCTATGAATGATTATAAATAAAGAACTTAGTTCTGATAATGGCCCAATTATATATTAGTAACTATTTAATATTATTATTGAAAAAGTTAAACTTTTGGTACGATTACGTTTATTTAGAAAGCATGTATAATTTTAATTGATATTCTTTTGAGGATGTTAAAAAATGTGGCACATTGGTTTGTTATAATACAGTTCAAATAATTTTGAATCATTTCAAATCCTAAATAAATATGTAGAAATTGAACACAGCGTCAAATAGTTCGTGACACTCAAAGTAGCCAAAAAGTTGAGAACACAACCTTATTCCAATGAGGGCTATCGTTTTTATACTTAACAGTTGGCACCCCTGGCGATTGACAGGACCTTACTCTACAGGTGATCGCTAAAACGATGAGGGCCAATGAGGGCCATTGTAACAAAGACGTGTTGCGAATTTTTTGGCTACTGTCACGAACTATTTGATGCTGACTTTACTTGACCAAATAATTTTTATGCCCAGTCCTAAGGTAATAGATGTAGATTTAAGTTTGATTGTTACGTAGCTTGATAAGCAACAGGGTAATAAATGATCTCAATTGATTTTGGCATGTTTAACTTTTTGTAATTCAAGTGTGTAGTCATTTAGCACCTTTTTCCATCCGTCCCCTTGACAAGTGACTAAAGCCTGGTCCGTAAGCACGTAGAATCCCGTCCAATGACCCCAAGCTGCCCATCCTTGTCGCTCGCACGTAATTATGTTGCTGTCGCGCTCGCACACTCACTGCCTTACCTACCTTAGCCACCTGGCTTGTCATTCTCAAAAAGTAATAAAATAAAACAATAAACTTGTAACATACATTTAATAAATAATAGTATGTAATAATTACAAAACAAATTCATTCTGTAGGAACAGTTAACAGCACATAACTAGGCTAGGTCATAATTTGGTTAAGAGATCACAATAAATACAGGGGCTTCAAAAGAAATGAAGAATGGCATAATAAAAACAAAACAGTTCTCTGATGAAAATCTATAATATTAATTTAATTTTAATCAATATTTTTTATTGTACAAAACTAAATGAGACACATTCATTCAACTCTTTTGAAATCACTGTAAACTGACCTGAAAAATGCTGTTAACTGTTAAGTTTATCCAGTTATCCTCATTGGACATTTTATTGTAAAAATCTTTATGGGCTTATAATAATACCTAATTAATACAAGTCACACTAATTGGCTATTAAGTTTGCTATAAATATACTAAAATACAATCATCTGTTTTACACACGATTGTCAGGCAGTAAATTGAATGAAACACTCAATGTAGATGTCGCTGTGTTACAGTAACATTCAGCCGACAAAATTATTCGCATTGATCTATCACCGGTCCTCGATTATAAGGACTTTTTTACATTGTTAGGTACGTGATGCTTACGAATTTTCATAATTTTTACAGCTATAGTCTGGTCTGTGAGCACGTAGAATTTTGTCCAATGACCCCAAGCTACCCATCCTTATCGCTCGCGCAACATAATTTGCTGTCGCGCTCGCACACTCGCTGCGGGCGCCCGTCGCACAGTCGCGACAGCAATATATTACGCGCGAGCGATAAGGATGGGTAGCTAAAATTCACAAAATTTGGACAAAATTCTACGTGCTCACAGACCGGGCTTTACCTATTTATGGGAAAATTGTTTTCTACATTTAAACTTTAAAATAATGCCCCCTGATAAGATTAGGCGGGCGCGGCCTAGCGTGAATATATTTTTTTGAAGGCACACAAAATGGTGAAGTGATTATTTCTGAGCAGAGGCGGGGCAAGACCTAAATTTGATGTGGGCAAGACAGATTTCGCGAGGCCTTGTTCTGTGGCGACCTGAAGACGGATTTTATGAAATAATAAAAAAAAGGGTCAAAGGTATACATTGACAGTTTCTGATTTCTTGATTCAGTGATTATTTTTAAAGGAATATTGCGCCAAAGAATAATGTTCGTCACTTAAAACCGTGTTGTTGCTTAATTTTGTGTCTGATTATGGCTGAATTTGTTTGGAAAAAAATATATTTTTATTTTTAACTACATTGTTTAGTTATCAAGAATTTATATTTAATAGTCAATGTTTGCATTTATTGTCGTATTGTGATATTGTCATCTCCACCTTGTATACATTTTTTCAAAATTTTTGATGCGCGAGGCCCCTTGCGCGAGGCCGTACGCGGTGGCCCACGTCGCCCACGCCTTACGCCGCCTCTGTTTCTGAGTGAAGTCTCAGTTCGCTTAGAAACTTAAAGTCTAACTAGAATGCTAGAATTTGCTTCGCAGAGCACGCTGAAGGTGTCAATTCAATGTAATACGCCTATCCCAGGCACCGTCACTACGGCAAGTCTCGAAATAAAACTTCATGACTAAAACGTTTGCAGTAACCGTGTTTAAGTGCTAGAAATGCTATTACACGATATAATAAGCGTACAATTGTCATTAGTCAATGTCAAAAGCTTAAAACGCGGTTTAATGTTGTAAAATGCGTCCGGAGCTAAGTTCCACACTGTGTCAACTGTGCCACACGATTATGCATATAACTTCGCATTTCCTAACTGTCAAAATCGGCCACGAAAACCATATAATGCCACATGATTATCAGCATTATAAGTTTGCGTTTCCTAACTGTCCACGTCAGCCACGAAAGTCTTTTTTTTTCATCTTTATGGCTCTCGCGGATTGCGTTTAGCCACGATAAAACGCCATATCTGCCACACGATTATCAGCTTTATAACTTTGAGGTTCCTAAGGCCCAGAATAGACGGTGAAACGCAACTGCAAAGAAACTGCAACTGCTAGTTACTTTTGAGTTGCATCTAAGTTTCTGCCATAGCGTCCGTTGAGAGACCACACATGACGTGACCAGTTTGAAACTTTCAGTTTCATTTATAAGAATCATCAGAGAGTTGCAGTTTCGTTGCAGTTGCGTTTCACCGTCTGTTCTGGGCCTTACTGTCCACGTAAGCCATATCTGCACACGATTATCAGCATTAAAAGTTTGCGTTTCCTAACTGTCCACGTAAGCCATATCTGCACACGATTATCAACTTTATAACATTACGTTTCCTAAGGCCCAGAACAGACGGTGAAACGAAACTGCAACTGCTAGTTACTTTTGAGTTGCATCTAAGTTTCTGCCATAGCGTCCGTTGAGAGACCACACATGACGCGACCAGTTTGAAACTTTCAGTTTCATTCATCAGAATCATCAGAAAGTTGCAGTTTCGTTGCAGTTGCGTTTCACCGTCTGTTCTGGGCCTTACTGTCCACGTAAGCCATATCTGCACACGATTATCAGCATTATAACGTTACGTTTCCTAACTGTCCACGTAAGCCATATCTGCCACACGATTATCAGCTTTATAACATGTTTCCTAACTGTCCACGTCAGCCACATGTGCCATAGTCCCGTGCGCGTGCAGCCGGAAGCGTCGCGGGCGCTAAAGTCTGTTCGCCGAGAGTTGATAAAAAAAATAAATATCAGAGGTTCTAAACTCATTATAAATTGCGGCCCGCTAATTATTTTTGTCGATATCATGAAAAAGTTGGTAGATTATCATTATTATCTCTTTTAAATTTACGGGAATTATTCCGGTTACGGCAAACGTGGGGATACGGATCAAACACGTGGCGTCCATGTGTTGAATAAAAAGTATTTCATTATTATCAAGTGGCTTATACCTTATAGTGTATCCCAATGTTGGGCAAAGCCCTACCCACTGTCATACCATTCATTTCGGTCTTATGTAAAATAAATCTATTCCTTTTCACACATTGCGTTTCACACATTGCGATAATTAAGCGACAGTCGCTATTGCAAGAAATTTCATAATATTTATCAACTCTCGGCGAACAGACTTTAGTACGTGAATATGACCGAGCGGATGAGCCCGTCGCGAACGCTGTCGCTGCTCTGCCCGATGCCGAAGTTGAAGAACACCGACTCCGCCGCCACCTGGACGAATTGGACCTTGTTACCTGGGCGTTGAGTCTTAAATCAAGTGGTGGGACTTGAAACACGTTACAATGAACGTTGTGCTTTTATTTCGTGCGTTAAACTGGTGTTTTTTTTTTTAAGATGTTTAGTCTAAAGCCCGGTCTGTGAGCACGTAGAATTTTGTCCAATGACCCCAAGCTACCCATCCTTATCGCTCGCGCGTAATTATATTGCTGTCGCGACTGTGCGACGGGCGCCCGCAGTGAGTGTGCGAGCGCGACAGCAACATAATTACGCGCGAGCGATAAGGATGGGTAGCTTGGGGTCATTGGACAAAATTCTACGTGCTCGCAGACCAGACTATAGTGAAGATTATTTATTGTGTAAGTCAGTTTCATCATACCTGTTGTGCGCACACGCCCATTGGATACCAGCCGGCCTTGTTGAACACTATACCCACTTTGTACACCTGCGGAAAACATAATGTCGTCAATGTAATACAACTGTCTATTCCGATTTTAAGCCACTAGATAGAATCTATGCTTTATATTAACGAACTTATTATGTACGAATGTAAAATATCGGCAGTACACATTATAATAATGACATTTCATGTTCTGAAAAATGAATGTTCGAATTTGAGTCTGAAACTGGTTTTACGGCTATTTGATGGAACTTTAAGCTGTCACCACTAAAGTCCGGTCGCCGAGCAGATAGAATTTCGTCCAATGACCCCAAGCAACTCATCCATATCACTCGCACGGAGTCGTACTTAATTATATTGCTGTCGCGACTGCGACGGGCGGCTGCAGTGCGTGTGCGAGTGCGACAGCAATATACACGCGAGCGATAACGATGGGTAGCTTGGGGTCATTGGACGAAATTATCTACTCGGGGACCGGACTTTACCCACTTAGGCGATTATCACACTGCACCGCGCTCCGTCGCGGTACGCGGGACGACAGATTTAATCATTGTATGCAAGTACCTCAGTTTTTATAGAAAACACGCGCGGCACAACATACTGAAAACGCGTCTGCGCGCGGGATTTTTTATATGTAATCACGCGGACCGCGGCGGTGCGCGGTGCAGTGTGATAATCGTCTACCATCCGTAATACCAGAAGAGTATTTTATTATAACTCAACGAAGAAAGGAAGAAACAGTAAGTTCGGTGTTCAAACAGGCCCGTATAGCCGACCTTGTTCCGCTGGATGTAGACGGGCCGGTTGAACATGATGTCGAGCAGGTGGCGGTGCGGCACGCGCGCCGTGTAGTGCGTGTAGGTGAGCCGCGCGCCGTCCGCGTCGAGAAGATGCGCGTAGAGCAGCTCGCTATAACTGGCCGCTGCGCTAACCGCGACGCCGCTTTCTTCGCACGGCGCTTGCGTCGGCACCTGCACAAGTTTTACACCGCTTTCACTTAAAGCAGAGTAAATACAAATGAGTAGGTCATCTTCATAGAAACGCACCGAGCGCGGTTTGTATGTGAGCGCGCCAATATACGTATGCGGCGCGCACGCACACACTGACAAAATTCGGCGCTCACATACAAACCGCGCCCGTGCGTTTCTAAGAAGATGACCTACTCATTTGTATTTACTCTGCTTAAAGGTAGCCTTTCGAACTAAGCGTCACAGACGCAGCGTCCTTAGCTTTGGTCTTGTGCCATCAACGCCGCGTCACTAACTCGCTTCGAAAGGCTACCTTTCAGACCAAAGCTAAAGACGCTGCGTCTGTGATGCTTAGTTCGAAAGGCTACCTTTAGGGCGTCAGTGACGCGACAGTAGCGCGGCAGCAGCGGATGCAACGCCGCTATCGCACTGTAATATAGTATGAAATTATCAGCACCACGACTGTCAACGGTCGCGCTGCTAGTCGCCTAAAGGACGTAGCGCACTTATCTTATCCGGGTTGATACCCGGAAAGGGATCGTGACCGTCAGGCGGTCAGTATTCTTTGTATGAAACTCCATACTGCAACGCACATTTATCCGTACCGTAATGTAAACACCTCGCCTTGCGATTGACAGCGCGAAAGGCTGTTGTTGATCTCTTTCCGAGTTGATATATTATTATCTGCTATGAGCTTTAGACTGCCGCCCGGAGTAAGGTTTACCCAAGGTATCCATGCTTGAGATTGTGACATCCTATGTGGTTGCCATAGATCCTATTTTGCTATAAAAATTAAGGCTGGGCAGTTAGCCCCGATACTGCTAACTGCTAAGGTGATGCGACGTGGATCTTCACAAATTTTAAGTAGGCGGTTGGCGTGAATCTACACAATACCGGAGCAAATGGCGTACCTATTGGCGATATCTTCTATCGGAGAATAACACATCTAGCTAGGGCTTTGCCATACTGGCGGATTACAAGCGTTTTCAAAGCGGAGCAACAACGCAGCGAACACCCCGCGTGTCCGCGGCGAAAACGACGCAACTGCGTGGCGAACACTACGCGGCTTGTTGCAAGCGTTTTCTAAGCGGAGCGGTGACACGCTTGCAATCGGCCAGTGCAGTGTTGCAGCTCACTTAGGGTCGCTGAGCCATCGATGTAACTACATGTAGTCTGGTCAGCGAGCACGTAGAATTTTGTCCAATGACCCCAAGCTACCCATCCTTATCGCTCGCGCGTAATTATATTCGCGACTGTGCGACGGGCGCCCGCAGTGAGCGTGCGAGCGCGACAGCAATATAATCACGCGCGAGCGATAAGGATGGGTAGCTTGGGGTCATTGGACAAAATTGTACGTGCTCACGGACCGGGCTTTATACCTGCACGCCCAGCAGACAGATGTTCTTGTCCACCATGAAGGTGACGGAGCAGTCGAGCACGGAGGCGTTGTAGCACTCGGTGTGCTGGATAATGGCGCGCGTGCAGTACAGCTTGCTGAACTCCGCGCTGTGCCGCTCCACGTGCTCCAGCCGCTCCGCCATCACCGGCGGCACGCGCACGCCTGGAATGGATATTAGAACTAATAATCAAGAGGTTACGGTTCATATTGCTTCGATTATTTAACCGCCTCTGTGGTCTAGTGGTAAGACCACCTGCTTCAGACGCAGAGGTCACCGCCTCTGTGGTCTAGTGGTAAGACCAACTGCTTCAGACGCAGAGGTCCCGGGTTCGATTCCCAGTGGGGGCAGATTTTTCTGTTCAGTTTCGTTGGTGGTAGGGCTTGTTCTAAGTCCGCCTGGCTAGCTACCACCATCTCACCTAAGTCTGTCGCCATAACAACAATGTTAACAGCATTGTTGTGTTCCGGCAGTTAGAGGTAAGATAGCCAGTTCCTCCGTGGTTGAGGATTCCGGGTGAAGCTCGCTTCCACCCTCGGCCTGATCGTCACTTACCATCAGGTGAGATACAGGCCAAGAGCTTCCTCGTTGTGGATAAAAAAAAAGATTAAAAATCAAAATGTTGCTTCTGGTAAATTAGCACGGGTCATCCTCCTGCAGTGACTAAATGACCTGCGGGACTAAAGGTAGGTCGCCGAGCAGATAGAATTTCGTACAATGACCTCAAGCTACCAATCCTTATCGCTCACGCTTATATTGCTGTCGCGCTCGCACGCTCACTGCGGTCGCCCGTCGCAGTCGCACAGTTACGATAGCAACATAATTACGCGCGAGCGATAAGGATGGGTAGCTTGGGGTCATTGTACGAAATTCTATCTGCTCGGCGATCAGACTTTAGTACATAATGGTTTTTCGTACTTCGTTCTTCAGGTGGATTTTCATAGGGATGTTATGGATATGTAGTTTCGGTTATGGATACGGTTACGGATATAGGAATAATATTATAAGGGTTACGGATATCTGTGCTTTATAATTCCAATTGCAATAGTTGTTGAACACAGTTCATTCATGCGGTTTGGCCAATTTCCTGGATAGTGTACGTACATCCACCATTGGGCCTAGGTTCGGGGGCCCGTAGTATTTTGCCAGCCCTGCCACCCTATAGTTATGGTTTTAAACCTTTGTTTGTCACCTGTCATCCGCTTTGCAATGGCGGGAAGTCGAACCTTAATTTCGAACTCCTATGTTCTTCTGATTTATTTCGTTGCGGGTCCAATGACAGTTTAACTTTCCCCCGGGACGAACGACCTTCATTGGTTGGGTTTTTGTGGCGGTCAAGCTGTAGATCCTGGCTACATTGGAGTTGCAGTGGTGGGAACGAGAGGTAGTCCCGTATAGTTACGCCCCTGGGTAAGGTACTGACCGGCTTGCGGCGCGCAGGGCAGCGCGTGGTCTGGGCGGCGCGCGGCGTGCAGGCAGGCGTGCGGCGGCGCCGGCCGCGACAGCTCCATGCCGAAAACCTGCTCCACCGTCACCGGGCTCGGCGTGTCCACCGTGAACGTCGGCATCTGCACGCCACAACAATACGGTATTTATTTGACACTAGCTTTCCGCCCGCGGCTTCGCCCGCGTGGAATTTTGTCTGTCACAGAAAAACTTTATCGCGCGCGTCCGTGTTTCAAAAACCGGGATAAAAACTATCCTATGTTCTTTCCCGGGACTCAAACTATCTCTATGCCAAATTTCATCAAAATCGGTTGCGAGGTTTAAGCGGGAAAGCGTAACAGACAGACAGACAGACAGAGTTACTTTCGCATTTATAATATTAGTTGGGATTAGCTGACCCGGCGAACTTTGTTCCGCCTTAATGGCAATAAATAAGCAGACTTTTTTTATTTCGAACGGGATAAAAAGTATCCTATGTCCTTCTCCTGGCTCTAAACTACCTCCCTGACAATTTTCAGCTAAATCGGTTCAGCCGTTCTTGAGTTATAAGTGGAGTAACTAACACGACTTTCTTTTATATATATAGATTAGGCTTTGAAGAACCTGGATGCGGACAGCGCAAGATTAAAGCCTGGTCCGTGAGCACGTAGAATCCCGTCCGCGCGAGCGATAAGGATGGGTAGCTTGGGGTCATTGGACGGGATTCTACGTGCTCACGGACCAGGCTCTAGTTGTGAATAACCTTGGGGTCCTTTGTCTCATCATCATCATAATTTCAGCCATAGGACGTCCACTGCTGAACATAGGCCTCCCCCAATGCTTTCCATGTTGATCGATTGGTAGAGGCCTGCGTCCAGCGCTTCCCTGCTACCTTTACGATGTCGTCGGTCCACCTTGTAGGTGGACGTCCCACGCTGCCCCTTTGTCTAGCACAGTGGTTCCCAAACTTATTTAGTCTACTGCCCACTTTGAGAATAAATTATTTTTAACGCCCCCCATTTTTGTAATCAAGAGTCGAGCTCAGTCGATGTCTAAGAGTCCTCCTTTCTGGGTATCTTACCGCCCCCCTTTAAGCCTGCAGCGCCCACAAGGGAGCGTTATCGCCCACTTTGGGAAAGACTGGTCTAGCAAATGATAAATAAGCAAAACGTTATGTGACTGAATGAATGGTGCTTCTACACTCAAATAGAGCTTTTACTAAAGGTTCGAGTAATATTCGAATGTATGTGTTGTGTAAACACTGGTGGATGGTCCGCCACCGATTAGCTGTTTCATCGCCACGTGACAGGTAGAGAATCCAATGGGAACGTTAGCTGTGCTGCACATGACATGAGTGCCTACTCCAGAAGCCACCGACTCTGATACATGAACTTACACTAGTAGCAGGTCCGTCACTGATCAATAATATTGCTTTTTCGACACGCGGCAGATAGAGATCCAGTGGGCATGAGGACGTCAGCAGGGCTGGACAGGATGTTCATGAGCACGGCAAAGGCCTCACGTGACAAGTAGAGAATCCAGTAGGCATGGAGACATCAGCAGCGCTGGAAAGAACCATTCATAAGGACTGCAAAGGTCGCCGACTCGAATATACTTACACTAGTATACAGTCCACCACCAATCAGCTATACATATCTCCAAAGGCACCCACCTTGATATATGAGCTACAAGCACTTACACTGGTGGATGGTCCGCCACCGATCAGCTGTTTCTTCAGCACGCGACATGTAGACAATCCAGTGGGCATAGGGACATCTGCAGCGCTGGACAAGATGTTATGAACATGGCGCAAGCCTCGGACTCCGTGATCAATTCATTCATAAGTACCCAAAAGACCATCGAATTCATAAGGACTGCAAAGGTCGCCGGCTTCAATATACTTACGCTAGTAGAAGGTCCGCCACCGATCAGCTGTTTCCTCGGCACGCGACAAGTGGAGAAGCCAGTAGACATGGGGACATCCGCAGCGCTGGACAGTATATTCATGAGGACTGCAAAGGTTGCTGTTGATTTCGATACACGCTATTTACACTAGTAGACGGCCCTCCACCGTTCAGCTGTATATGGACGTCAGCTCAGCAGTGCTGGGCAATATGTCATGAGGAGTCCAGAGGCCACTAAGTCTGTTAACCAACTTACGCTAGAAGAAGGTCCGCCACCGATCAGCTGTTTCTTCTGCACGCGACAAGTGGAAAAGCCAGTAGGCATGGGGACATCCGCAGCGCTGGAATTTATTTGACACTAGCTTTCCGCCCGCGGCTTCGCCCGCGTGGAATTTTGTCTGTCACAGAAAAACTTAATCGCCCGCGTCCCTGTTTCAAAAACCGGGATAAAAACTATCCTATGTTCTTTCCCGGGACTCAAACTATCTCTATGCCAAATTTCATCAAAATCGGTTGCGAGGTTTAAGCGGGAAAGCGTAACAGACAGACAGACAGACAGACAGAGTTACTTTCGCATTTATAATATTAATAGTTGGGATTAGCTGACCCGGCGAACTTTGTTCCGCCTTAATGGCAATAAATAAGCAGACTTTTTTATTTCGAACGGGATAAAAAGTATCCTATGTCCTTCTCCTGGCTCTAAACTACCTCCCTGACAATTTTCAGCTAAATCGGTTCAGCCGTTCTTGAGTTATAAGTGGAGTAACTAACACGACTTTCTTTTATATATATAGATTAGGCTTTGAAGAACCTGGATGCGGACAGCGCAAGATTAAAGCCTGTTCCGTGAGCACGTAGAATCCCGTCCAATGACCCCAAGCTGCCCATCCTTGTCGCTCGCACGTAATTATGTTGCTGTCGCGCTCGCACACTCACTGCGGGCGCGCGTCGCACAGTCGCTGTTTCATCGCCACGTGACAGGTAGAGAATCCAATGGGAACATTATCTGTGCTGCACAACATGACATGAGTGCCTACTCCAGAAGCCACCGACTCTGATACATGAATTTACACTAGTAGTAGGTCCGCCACTGATCAATATTGCTTTCTCGGCATGCGGCAGATAGAGATCCAGTAGACATGGAGACATCAGCAGCGCTGGAGAGTATATTCATGAGGATTGCAAAGGTCGCCGACTCCAATATACTTACACCAGTAGAAGGTCCGCCATTGATCAGCTGCTTCCTCGGCACGCGACAAGTAGAGAAGCCAGTAGGCATGGGGACATCCGCACCGCTGGAGAGTATATTCATGAGCACGGCAAACGCATCCAACTCCAATGCATGAGCTACAATGACTTACACTGGTGGATGGTCCGCCACCGATCAGCTGCTTCCTCGGCACGCGACAGGTAGAGAAGCCGGCATGGGGAATCAGCAGCGCTGGAGAGTATCTGCATGAGGACTGCAAAGGCCTCAAACACCGCGATCAATTCATTCATAAGTACCCAAAATATCATCTACTCTTGATTCATGAGGTACTTACGCTAGTAGACGGTCCGCCACCGATTAGCTGCTTCCTCGGCACGCGACAAGTGGAGAAGCCAGTAGGCATAGGGACATCTGCAGCGCTGGACAGGATGTTATGAACACGGCGCAAGCCTCGGACTCCGTGATCAATTCATTCATAAGTACCCAAAAGACCATCGAATTCATAAGGACTGCAAAGGCCGCCGACTCCAATCACTTACGCTAGTAGAAGGTCCGCCACCGATCAGCTGCTTCCTCGGCACGCGACAAGTAGAGAAGCCAGTAGGCATGGGGACATCAGCAGCGCTGGAGAGTATATTCATGAGGACTGCGAAGGCCTCGGATTCCGTGAGCAGGGCGGAGCTAATTCATATTCATGAGTATTCCAAAGACCATCGACTTATACATGAGTCACTAACACTAGTAGACAGTCCACCACCAATCAGCTATACATATCTTCAAAGGCACCGACCTTGATACACGAGCTACATGTACTTACACTGGTGGATGGTCCGCCACCGATCAGCTGTTTCCTCGGCACGCGACAAGTAGAGAATCCAGTGGGCATAGGGACATATGCAGCGCTGGACAGGATGTTATGAACACGGCGCAAGCCTCGGACTCCGTGATCAATTCATTCATAAGTACCCAAAAGACCATCGAATTCATAAGGACTGCAAACGCCTCTGACTACAATATCCTACTTACGCTAGTGGAAGGTCCGCCACCGATCAGCTGCTTCCTCGGCACGCGGCAAGTAGAGAAGCCAGTAGGCATGGGGACATCAGCAGCGCTGGAGAGTATATTCATCAGGACTGCGAAGGCCTCGGACTCGGTGAGCAGGGCGGAGCGCGCGGGCCCGGCCGCGAATTGCGTGGCCGTCAGCGTCAGGAAGCGGATCTTCTCGATCGCGCTGCGGATGGTCAGCTTGTCTTTGTTTTCTGTGGACACAAATGGTTAAATCGCATGTGGGTTTTGATAGGACCTAATCAACAATGTGGATGATCTTGACTCATGAATAACAAGAGTCACTAAAAGGTGAAAATCTACGGTTTTCGACTTGTAAACATCTATTCCTAACATGCTGTACAACAAATAAATCACCACACATTTGATCAAATCAATACACACATACTATTCAATAGAAGCACTCTTTTTGGGAAAGGGCATAACAAACTTTTTGCGCATTTTTCCGTAGTGCTCAAGGTCGGCGCTGTAGGATATTGTTCGTAACATTTAGAAATCCCAAATTAATGTGTGATTTTGATAAACTTTCCAATAAAATAAATTGCACACTGAAAACTGAAACATATGATTTTGAACTTAGAAAGTGTTTATAAAATGTATGACTACCCATATTTTAAGACACAATACCTCCTTTATTCTTCTTATCTTCATTGGAAGGCCCTGGGTTGGTCTGCTCTGGCTCGGCTGCCTTGCACAGCTCCATTGCACTCTCTGGACTGTTCTCTGCACTGCTCTCGACACTGCTTTCTACGTTTAATTCCTGGAATTTTTTTAGATTGTTCTCATGTTATGGAAGCATTTTAACAGATCCTATAAAGTTCAAATCACTTTTTGTAAAATATATTTACAGTTGTCTGTCTCAATTACTAAGATACTTTTCAAACTGTGGATTAATCATTAGGAATATTGTTACAGAAATTACAGAAGTAAGTAGGTATTCTTACTTATTAGAATTAAACTAACTTTCTAACTAACCTTTTCATTAGATGTAGAAGGCTCAGGACTTTTACTCCTTTTCTGTGATGGTGGCCCGTTATCAGAAGGTGGGCTGACACTTCGCTCTGAGCACCGCTTGCCCTGAGCCTTAGCGTAGCGCACCGCTGCCTCAAACAGATCCAGTTCACTATCCACGTTCAAGTGGTCTAGTGAGAACACGGTGATTAATGTGTTTAGCTCAACCTCTTCAAAGCTGCTGTCGTTTAATACTTCTTTTGTGTTTGTGCTGATGATCTAAAACATATTTTTGTAGACAATACTATACATTGGGTTTTTATAATACAAGACACAATATGACAATAGAAATCAATTGTTATGTGGTCTTTTGTGACAGCTTGAGATTTGATGGGTTACATGAAAGTCAAATTGTGGTACCTGTATGCATTTATCCATCAGCACATTCTCCTCAAAGAGCCGAGCAAACTCATAGGCGCGGCAAGCATTCCTTGGGTAAAGGTCTGACCACAGATACCGAGTGCACTCCTTCACCAGATGTGGCAGCATGTACTTCTTGGCTCCGTAGCATAGTTCACATGCCTTGTCAAATGAACTGATGTTGATATTGTCTGTGTAAATGTACCTGGAAGTAGGAAGGTCCGCCACCGATCAGCTGTTTCCTCGGCACGCGGCAAGTAGAGAAGCCAGTAGACATGGGGACATCCGCAGCGCTGGACAGTATATTCATGAGGACTGCAAAGGTTGCTGTTGATTTCGATACACGCTATTTACACTAGTAGACGGCCCTCCACCGTTCAGCTGTATATGGACGTCAGCTCAGCAGTGCTGGGCAATATGTCATGAGGAGTCCAGAGGCCACTAAGTCTGTTAACCAACTTACGCTAGAAGAAGGTCCGCCACCGATCAGCTGTTTCTTCTGCACGCGACAAGTGGAAAAGCCAGTAGGCATGGGGACATCAGCAGCGCTGGAGAGGATATTCATGAGGACTACAAAGGTCGCTGATGACTCCGATACACGCTATTTACACTAGTCGACGACCGATCAGCTGTATCCTCGGTACACGACAGGTGGAGACTCCAGTGGGCATGAGGACGACAGCTCAGCAGTGCTGGGCAATATGTCATGAGGAGTCCAGAGGCCACTAAGTCTGTTAACCAACTTACACTAGTAGACGGTCCGCCACCGATCAGCTGTTTCCTCGGAACGCGACAAGTAGAGAAGCCAGTAGGCATGGGGACATCAGCAGCGCTGGACAGGATATTCATAAGGACTGCGAAAGCCTCGGACTCGGTGAGCAGGGCGGAGCGCGCGGGCCCGGCCGCGAATTGCGTGGCCGTCAGCGTCAGGAAACGGATCTTCTCGATCGCGCTGCGGATGGTCAGCTTGTCTTTGTTTTCTGTGGACACAAATGGTTAGATTGCATAATGTAAAGCCGGGTCCAGACATGATCATTTGACCGATCCTATCACCGTATCCGATCACCGTATAATGTATCTGCGTATTGTATCATGATACGTATATCATTACCCATCCACATATGCGATCATGATACGCGTCGACGATACGGATACGGTGATCGAATCGGGAAAATGATACATGTCTGGAACTGCCTTAAGGGTTTTTACAGGACCTAATCAACAATGTGGATGATCTTGACTCATGAATGACAAGAGTCACTAAAGAGTGATAATATCTATCTATGGTTTTCGACTTGTAAACCCCTATTCCTAACATGATGTACAAAAAGTAAATCACCAACATTTGATCAAATCAAATCAATACTCTTCGGTAAAGATCACCAACATTTGATCAAATCAAATCAATACTCTTCGGTAAAGGGCATAACAAACCCTTTGCGCAGTTTTTGTAGCACTCAAGGTCGGCGGCTCGGCGCTCTTAAATTAATTAATGTGTTATTTTAATAAACTCTAATACAATAAATTGCACACTGAAAACTGAAACATATGATTTTGAACTTAGAAAGTGTTTATAAAATGTATGACTACCCATATTTTAAGACACAATACCTCCTTTATTCTTCTTATCTTCATTGGAAGGCCCTGGGTTGGTCTGCTCTGGCTCGGCTGCCTTGCACAGCTCCATTGCACTTTCTGGACTGTTCTCTGCACTGCTCTCGACACTGCTTTCTACGTTTAATTCCTGGAATTTTTTTAGATTGTTCTCATGTTATGGAAGCATTTTAACAGATCCTATAAAGTTCAAATCACTTTTTGTAAAATATATATACAGTTGTCTGTCTCAATTACTAAGATACTTTTCAAACTGTGGATTAATCATTAGGAATATTGTTACAGAAATTACAGAAGTAAGTAGGTATTCTTACTTATTAGAATTAAACTAACTTTCTAACTAACCTTTTCATTAGATGTAGAAGGCTCAGGACTTTTACTCCTTTTCTGTGATGGTGGCCCGTTATCAGTAGGTGGGCTGACGCTTCGCTCTGAGCACCGCTTGCCCTGAGCCTTAGCGTAGCGCACCGCTGCCTCAAACAGATCCAGTTCACTATCCACGTTTAAGTGGTCCAAGGAGAACACGGTGATTAACGTGTTTAGCTCAACCTCTTCAAAGCTGCTGTCGTTTAATACTTCTTTTGTGTTTGTGCTGATGATCTAAAACATATTTTTGTAGACAATACTATACATTGGGTTTTTATAATACAAGACACAATATGACAATAGAAATCAATTGTTATGTGGTCTTTTGTGACAGCTTGAGATTTGATGGGTTACATGAAAGTCAAATTGTGGTACCTGTATGCATTTATCCATCAGCACATTCTCCTCAAAGAGCCGAGCAAACTCATAGGCGCGGCAAGCATTCCTTGGGTAAAGGTCTGACCACAGATACCGAGTGCACTCCTTCACCAGATGTGGCAGCATGTACTTCTTGGCTCCGTAGCATAGTTCACATGCCTTGTCAAATGAACTGATGTTTATATTGTCTGTGTAAATGTACCTGGAAGTAGGACACAATTTCGCTTTATTTTCCAAAGTTTTATAAATAAGAAAGTAAGATAAAATTGAGAAAAAGAAAATGCAATAAATATAAGAGAGAGAGTCACAAAGAGACAAACAACAGATAGCTTATGGACATAAAATGTGAAGGTCGGTTATTATGAGGTGCTAAATCTTTTTTACTCACTCTAATAGTGCTTTGAAGGCTTCAGGCTGAACATCTAAGATAGGAATGGGATCATTTCTCTCAGCCATGCCCCCGTAGAACATGGCTTCAAACACCGGCGAAGCCATCGCAAGTACCAGCTTGTGGCCGGGCACCTGCACCTGGTTGGGTTCAGTCCCCACCAGGAAAGTACAGTCTGACCACTGCCCAGACTGAAGCAAATGAGCGCCTCGCTGCTTCATCTCCGTACAGCCCAGCTGCCAGTCACTTGGCACCCCTGCCATTGTTACAATCGGTTAATGGTTAATCACACTACGTATTTCTGAAATAGGATGGCTGCAATGCAATGCAATTAATTAATTTTCACGAAAAACACAAACAAAACAATGCAAAACAACCACAGGATGACGTTACGTCATCTACATGAACTGACATTAGAGCCAAGTTTACGAAGGCCGTTTCACAGAAAACTTCGTAATTAAAAAATAATATAAAATGTTTCTTTTTATTTATGCACTAATTTTATCTCTTTAAATTAAACGTTTTTTTAACTGTTATAAAAGAAAAGTTTAAGGATTTAATATGTTCTTGTTTGATTTTTTACCTTGGTCAACTGAAAAGCGATCTTAATTAAAATATGAACGACCTTTACGAACGATCAATTAATGTCATATAAAGCGTTTCGTTAGTTTTTTTTAGATATTTTTTAAATACACCCAAGTTTAAGAAAAACTACATTTTAGTTACATTAGTAACATTTTTATTGTAAATTAGAGATTTGAATATTTTTGAAAACGTTGAAATTGCAATTTTTATTTACAGACAAGTTTATGAAATTATAAACGCTATTTATAAGAATAACAACCAAACGCTCTTTGACGCTAACGTCAAAAACTGATTTGTCAATGAGATTGTGGACGATGTGTTGTAATTTAATTTTTTGTTCGTGCTAAAATGAGCTAAAATAAAATGAACAACGACGAAATTAAGTCAGTAGTGCAGGAGAAATTCCTATCTAGTGAACGCGTCACAGCCTTTCTCTGTGACGCCAAAGTGCTTCATCCAGAATGGGTAAAGACGGACCGACTTCTCGCCATCGTCGAATACGGAGATGAAAAAGCAGTGTTCTGTTTACACACTTCTTGTTACCCTCCGAAGTCCTTCACGGATTTATCAATAGAGATAGTATTACCAATCGACAATAGCTTTAAATGTGAAATCGACAACAAGCCATCGGACCCAGAAGCTATACTGTACCTGAATCTGCAATCGAGCAGCAATAAGTTTAGATTTGAAATTCAAATGACCACTCGAGTGGATAGCTTCGTGGACGACCTGTTCCGGGGCATCGAAGCTGTCAGTAAAGTGCCAACACAGCCGGAGTTCCTCTGGCTCAAGAAGTACAATGGGAAGAGTGAAGATGACATAATAAAACAAACGATGGTGTTGCCGCGCACGGGCGTCGCCCACACGCAGGGTTCCGCGCCAGTCGCGATAAGAGAGAGCCTCATTAAGCGGAAAATGAGTGATAAAGAATTAGATTACACATTCACTAAGAAGTTTTCAATATTTTGTGGCACCTGGAATGTGAATGATAAACCACCTGTTATCTCGTTGAAGGGATGGTTGAGTGTGGACAAGGAGCCTCCTGACATATATGCTGTTGGGTTCCAAGAGCTGGATCTGTCTAAGGAGACATTCTTATTTGACCAAACATTGAGAGAAGATGAATGGTATAATGCAGTGATCAGTAATGTAGATCCGAGAGCAAAATATGTAAAAGTGGAAAGGGTAAGACTAGTTGGCATGATGTTGATTGTGTTGATTAAGCAGAAACATCTATCACATGTACGTAATGTTATCTGTGACACTGTTGGTACTGGTATCATGGGTAAAATGGGGAACAAAGGAGGAGTAGCCATAAGATTTGACCTGCATAGCACTTCTATGTGTTTTGTTAACTCTCACCTTGCTGCCCATGTGGAGGAGTATGAACGCAGAAACCAGGACTTCAGAGATATCTGTAATCGTACCAGATTCATTCAGCCAAACCAGCAACCTAAGACTATCAAGGACCATGATCAGATTTATTGGCTGGGAGACCTTAATTATAGGATCACAGAGTTGGATCCAACCAGTGTTAAGAAAATGATAAATGAAAACAACTTTGCACCAATATTGGAGTGGGACCAATTGAGACAGCAGCATAGAAATAATCATGTTTTTGCTGGATACACAGAGGGGCATATCACATTTAAACCAACATACAAATATGATCCGGGCACAGACAACTGGGATTCCAGTGAAAAGAACAGAGCTCCAGCTTGGTGTGACAGAATATTTTGGAGAGGAGAGAATGTGACACAGTTGGCATACAGAAGTCACCCAGCACTGAATATCAGTGACCATAAACCTGTTTCAGCTATTTTCACATCAGCCATAAAGATAATAGATGAGGAAAAGTACAGGAAAGTGTATGAGGATGTTATTAAACAACTTGATAAGCTAGAAAATGAACTCATACCACAAGTCAAGGTTGACGTCACAGAAATCGACTTTGGGACAGTTAGATATTTAGAACTGCAAGTACGGTCCATCACAATAAAAAATACAGGAAAGTTGCCAGTTGAGTTTGAATTCATTAAGAAACTGGACGAAACTAGTTTTTGTAAAGATTGGCTAATAGTGGAGCCTTACAAGAAATGTATTTGTGCAGATGAGTCATGCGAAATACAACTCAAAGTACTTATAAACAAAACTTCTGCATGCAAAATGAATGCAGGAACTGACAAATTATATGACATTTTAGTTTTGCACCTGTATGGTGGAAAGGATATTTTTATAACAGTGAATGGTACATACCAAAGAAGTTGTTTTGGGTGCTCTATAGAGGTGCTAGTTAACTTGGGAATGCCCATCAGGGAGGTGCCTGTCGGCAAGCTGATTGAGCTGGAGAACAAGAGAGACCAGTGTGTTTCAAATCTATCAACCTATTCCATACCAAAAGAGATTTGGTTCTTGGTAGACCACATTTATTTGCATGGCTTGAAGGAGCCAAACTTGTTTGAGCAGCCTGGACTGCACTCAGAAGTGCTACAGATTAGAGACTGGTTGGACAGTGGCTCTGTGGACCCCATTCCTGGAAGTATTCACTCAGTAGCAGAGGCTCTTCTTCTGCTGCTGGAAAGTACTGCTGACCCCATCATACCTTACAACCTGCAGTCAGTGTGCCTCAGGGCATCAGCCAACTATTTACAGTGTAAACAAATTGTTATGGAGCTGCCAGAGTTCAGGAAGAATGTTTTCTTATACCTTTGTGAATTTTTGCAAGAAGCTCTGCAGCATTGTGCTGAAAATGGGCTTGACGCCAAAACGCTATCGACACTCTTTGGATCGATTTTCCTCAGAGACAACCCAAGCCAAACTCAGGAGCCCCAGTCTCGTATAAACAAGCAAGTGATAGACAAGAAAAAAGCCCAATTTGTTTACCACTTTCTGGTCAATGACCACAGTGACTTAATATTTTCTAGATAAAATATTTCTTCATTTTTAATTTGTTAATAATACTCACATTTTCCATTATTTAGTATTATAATTTATGTTAGTTTAACATTAACCATATAATTTATTTAAGTTATTTCCAAAAAAATGTTGTCATGGGTAGAAACTTAACTTTATGGTATTCATTTAATCAATAACCTACATCGAAATAATAAGTAATAGTAAATCTCACAAGTGATATTAATATAAAATAGAGATAACAAACAATATGTTAGTATTTGTTAATAATATAAACTTTAAAGTCCAAATAATGTTAAACAATTCTTGCTAAAAGGCTTTGTTTGTCCTTCCTGTATAATGTATTTGAAAAAAAAAGTATTGTATATTTCTACACATATTAATGTTTAATCAAGTATACTAGCCAAATTTTGTATGTAGAATCATAATTACTAAAACCTGTGTGCTAATAGAAACTTTTGAATTTGAATTATTTAAAAATCAGATGTAATATCAATTTTTCTATAGAACGTTTTTGCACTAGAAGATATTTCTAATGAATTTGATATGATTTTTAAATTAGTGGTAATATATAAAATAATCAGATTTAAGTAGCACAGTTAAATAAGAAAATATAATAATATTTACTTGTTGCAATAATTCTACTTTTTAGCATTGTTGTTCAAGGTCAAATGAAATTGAAATATGCCACTAATGATTGTGCTGTATGAATTTGATGATGTTCTAACAGAGTCGCGTGTACGCAATAGAGTGAGTTAGAGAACCAGTAGGCTCGTTTGTTGCACTGACTTAGATGGTGGCGACCAATGTGTAGTGCACTAAAATATAATGTACTACATTATTGACTAGCTAAGGCCCGAGTCGACCAAACTTTTATCCGAGAATAACTCCTGGTATAACTGGCACGTACGTAATTATGGGAAATATGTCAAAATGTCGAATAACTGACGATTTATTCTGAGATTAATATTTAGGTACTCTTGTTTGGTCGAATCCACCCTAAGTCTAGTAGGCCTGGTTCAGATCCAGCGATAAACACCTGCGGTTTCTGGGCGGTTCTCTTACATTAATTTATATTACACTGTTACCGCCTCGGTGCACTGCCAGTGAGAACCACCCAAAAACCGCGCGGCTATCGCGCGCGTGTCTATCTCTAAACCAGGCATTATAATAATTGTAGCCTATTGGGTCAAATAAGCCTACTGTTTTTCCCTCCTCGTTGTGATGTTAATTACAAGTTGAATCATTTTGAGACTAATTATACCTACTCTGCTGTAACCCAAATACCTACTTGTGCATTTACGTAACTCCATGAAGAATATTATGCAATTTGAATTTCTTCATCCATTATTCATATGAATGTTTGTGGCTTGTTGTTCATGAATGAGATGATTTTAATATTTAATAGTAGTGATTTATTGCAGTGTGTTCACTCGAGTTAAATATTTATTACTTAGTTAAACACAACCTACGCATTTGTACCTTACCCTTCATTCCTCTATTATTCAGATGTAGGCTAAGAACACACGCGCCGTGAGTTCTTAGCCGTATGGAGAATCGAAATTGAAATGATTTATTTAAAATTATTCTAGCTGTTGCCCGCAACTATTATGTTCATTCGATTACTTACGTAGGACTGCCTTGGCTCTCTTTAAACGAACGTAATTCATCGGGAACATTACGCGTTAATGAACAGGATGGACTATTACTAGTTAATTTAGTTATCTAATGTACCTAGTTATTGATAAGTTGTTTAACTTACGTAAACTAAGCATTAAATAAATTAGTCGCTATGAGAGATACGAAGATTTAAAACTTAGAGGTAGGGCAATCCATACAGCGACATCGTTTTGCTGATTCCGAATTATGCGCGCGCAAATCTTTCTGTGGCGAAATAATTTAGCATTTTTCTATTGTTTGGGGGAAACAGCTAGTAATATAAAAATAAAAAGGTAATAGGCAGGAATTGATCATTACTTATATGTATGTATTAAATTATCTGTGCTTATGTGGTGTTACAAGGCGTAGTGATTCTCCATGACTCGGTGGCGTCAAGGGAAATTTAACGAAATTGTTTCCTTCCTTGACTAATTGAAATTGTTATTTTCATGAACTACTTTCGTAAGGCTCACGGTATTGTGACACAGAAATTATTGAACTATGTAAATGAGGTTGCCTAAGAGAAAGGAAGCCAAACTTTCTCCTAAGTTACTCTGAAAGTATTTACTGAAATGGTATAGCATAACAGATTGATTTTGGCATTTAAAGTAATTAACTACTGTCCAAAAGCAATTTACTGGTGTCTGTAGATATTTGAGGGTAACTGAGTGCCGGTTGTTGTTGTATGTAAGCCCCCGCCTAATAAAATGTCGGTTATTATTAACGTGGCCTTCGATAAAAATGATTTTACGGCCTTTTCGCTCAGCACTCTTCATTGTATCTAATTCAAATTCAAAACGTTTATTGCATGTCACATTACAATTTATAGCCTGACCAGGAACATAAAAACCCTGGCATAGAGGCGCTTCAATTGCATTTGATAGTGCAACACTGAGTACAGTCGTACATGTGTTAAATTAATAGGCTAAATTTATGTATCAGGATTCAGGATTACGGGCTTATTTGATATTTTCATAAATGAACGAAAAATATTATTAAAGGTAACCTGGTTTAAATAAATTAAATGAAACCATCAATCGAGCTAGTAGGATTTATTTTATTATTCATCAATAATCAAATTCAGAACTTGAATATTCAACTGCAATGTCTGCTCATGAACGCTTCAAACTCGGTACTTCTTTCCCAATTCCATAAAATTCAAAACTTAGAAAGTAACAAAAAACTTTAATATGGGTAGTTGAAACAGACTACAGCTAATTTTCATAGTGGACTGTACTATACGATAAACATGTCAGTCAGTTTGACAACCTTTGTCTGAAACATTATTCAATGAAAATATTGTCCGAACCCTTAGTATTTCTCTTCGACAAATACATTAACACACCGTGAACCACTTTTCTTTCACGACTATAAAAATATTTTAGCAATTTAATTCACAAAATCAATTGCACACATTTAAAATAAAGTTTGTTTACACTTTGACAACAATAGACTGACATGCAAGGTGACATGTCAATGAAGTTTTCAGTTACTGTTGCCATTAAAAGAAATTAGTACCATTAGTTTTCCGCAACATGGCGAGGGTTTTTATGTTCCGGGTCAGGCTATATATGTTGTTGCAAAATAGAGGTAGGTATACATGTGACGCCCTGCAAGGGCACAGCAAAACATCAAAACACAATTGCCATATGAAAAACACACTTTTCCAATATTTTTATTTGCCATGAGATTCTGGTACACCTATACTTTTATATTTTAACGCATTTTTAAGTCTTAGCACCGACAGCGCCCCCTATATTCTCTCTCGACTTGCATCACATTTAATAAACAACATTTGCATTATGTACCTAAAAGTTCTGATACTTACAACTTTGTAATAATTCACATGCGACTGTTAAATTAGACCTTTTTTGTTTATTGTAATTTTACATACCTACTTTTAACTGTATTATAACTCGCTGTATTCTTGGTTATTATTTAAAGTGATAATGTTATTATTTATTGATGTATTACGTTACGGAATGTAAAAAATATATTCTTTAGTACCTACTATGTATTTCAATCTCTTAAAAAGTGTTATTGTGTGGTTTGTACCTGTAAATATTCAATGAATCATCATCAGATTCATCAACTTGAATAAAAAGCATGGGAGGTTAATACCTCATTTGAAATTGTTGCTGGCCACTTGCGCATTTTTTTAAAATTTCAAAAATTCAATCATCGTAACAAATGACATACGTCGTTGTCAATTGTCGCAAAAGCGTATCGATTTTTAGAACAAGGGCGGTTCATTTTAAAAAACGACGCCCTAGATTCATCATCTTTCTCTTGAATTCAATGTTGGTTTGCGTAATTTCTACCCTTTGGTTTAGTTATGTCATTTATCAAATTGCATTGACGACTGCTATTATTGGCAGCCCATGTCAAAAGCGAGTGCGCGGGAATTAAACTTCAGCTACTCTGAGTAAATTCGCCACGCTGCGTAGATCCGTGATCAAAGTTATGAAGATCAAACTGCGTAAGTATATCTATCTTCTCCTTACTAACACCATCCATTTCCGTAAAGAACGCCCCTAATTTCAGTTACCATTAGGTACCTACCTAGATGCACGTTGGAAAAGTAGAAGTCCACAACTTACCACAGCTGCGTATTTGCGCAGCAATAGGGCTATTGTTTAGGATCTTATAGCTACTTATTCTCTTATCAAATAGCTTTTCACTTGGATACCTCCGCAATTCGTAGCCTACCTCATTGAAGTAAGCCTACCTACATTTTAACTATAAAAATCTATGTTATTTTATCTTCGACTAACTTATCCGGTCGTTAGCATAGAACTCGCCATATCAACCAAGTGCTAAGACCCCCGTCTCAGATAGAGTCTACCTAATCCTTACTTTGCAAAATCTATAAATTGATACGCTTTATTTAAATGTACCTTATCGTTTCTACTGTCATAACAGCGCGCGATCGATTCCCGTCGACATCATCGACGGACGAGAACGAAAGCGGCAACGACTGGGAGTCCGACCCCATGCGCCATCCGCAGCAGCATCCCCTCCCGCACCCCCATACCCTCCCCGGTCACCCAGGTCATCCAGGCCATCCGGGCCACCCGGGTCATCCAGGCCATCCGGGCCACCCGGGTCATCCAGGCCATCCGGGCCACCCGGGTCATCCAGGCCATCCGGGCCACCCGGGTCACCCAGGCCATCCCGGCCACCCGGGTCATCCAGCCATGATGCATCCGCGCCACCCGCCGCCCCCGCAGGCTATTCTAGCGGGCTCGGTGCGCAAACGCCGCGGGAACCTGCCCAAACACTCTGTGAAGATCCTCAAGCGCTGGCTCTACGATCATCGGTACAACGCGTACCCTAGCGATGCTGAGAAACTCGCTCTCAGCCAAGAAGCCAATCTGACTGTTTTGCAGGTAAGTTGAAAAACACTCATCCATCGTATCCTCCCAGCTTTCAGCTTAGTAGATTATACAGCGCAATTAAAAGAACTAAAGTACTTATCGATAATATTGTGTTAACGAACTTTCTTTCAGTCACTTTTTGGTCATTGAGCTAGTGAGAGGCTTATTCCACTATTCCCCGTTAACGCCAATTGACCTTCTTAGTTCATTATTCCCCATTACGTTCAAAATAAAATCCTAATATAACGGGGATTAATGAACTTTATAGTTCATTATTCCCCATTTAAAAGCTCTAATTGGCGTTGACGGGGATTGTCAACGGGGAATAGTCGAAAGAGCCGAGTGAGAGAGAGATCATTCATTCCAAATTATTAGTTTTTCACGAAAGGCTCTGTCTAATTGATATTTTCCCATCTAAAAAGCTTCCTATCTCATTTCAGGTGTGCAACTGGTTCATAAACGCGCGCCGCCGCATTCTGCCCGAGATGATCCGGCGGGAGGGGCACGACCCCCTGCACTACACGATCTCGCGGCGCGGCCGCAAGCAGCCGGGGGCCATCGGCGTGGGGCCCATGGTGGGGCTGCCGGGGGCCTCGACCTCGGGTATGGCCCTGGGGCCGGGGGCCAGCGTGACTGTCACGTCCTGGGATGGAGTTGTAGTCGAGGTTGGTTGCATTTATTTTTAAAATTTATTTATTTATTATTTATTTATTTATTACTTATTACATTATTTAGCCATTACATCTTTGATTTAAATAGTGTCTTAAATCCTCTTAAGTTTTGTCTAGACACTATTGCAAATAAGTTGCAATTATGAAACAAATAAGGGTATGTAGTGATGAGAAAAATTTAAGTTTGTCAAAACCATGCGAGTAGCAAAACCTTATTGACAGTGGCGTCATCTAGTGAGTGTAAATACGATATTCCTCCAACTGCTTCTGTGCTCACCAGTTGGCGCCACTGTCTTATCCAATAGTACAAGTAAGTCACAGGGCCGTATTCTAGGGGCCTACTGAGGATCACAAATACGGTGAGGGCTCTCATTGATGCCATTGATGGGTAGTGTCTTCTACACTATTTTAGTTTTGAAATCCTATATTGTCTATGGAAGGACAAAAACATCACCCAAGCTTTAGTTTGTTCGTTCGAAACGCGTTGGTTTCCGCTCGAAATCAGCTTCTCGACATGACGTTTGTGTCATGTCGCAATTTTAGCTGAGCGGGCGCCTGTTCATCATAGTTTATTTTTAAGAAATGATGTATGTTGTACTACATAATTATATCTTTTGTTTGTTGTTTTTTTTTATGCTGAATAAAGTTTTTCTTGGCTTAGTTTATAATTGTGTGTTTGTAGTCGCCATAATAATACAAGTGGACATCCACTTGTCTAAAGCCTGGTCCGTGAGCACATAGAATTTTGTCCAATAACCCCAAGCTACCCATCCTTATCGCTCGCGCGTTATTATATTGCTGTCGCGACTGGGCGACGCGCGCCCGCAGTGAGTGTGCGAGCGCGACAGCAACATAGCCGTTAGTTGGGGCTGATTTGATGGTACAGATGACAGCACATCAGAATATACATTTTCGTTGCAAAGTCGCCCTTATGGCAACTACGTAAGATACCACAGTGTTTACGTTGACTGTTCCTAAGTTTCGATCATTCCTTCCAGAACGAGCCGGGAGTCCGCAACGAGTACGGCGACGGTTTGCTCGTGTACCGCAGCGGCGACGAGCTGGCCGAACCTGAGGAGGGCTACTCCAGCGCCATCAGCGAAGAGGAGGTCAAGTACGACCCCTCCGTGTGGCAGTCCGTCATCCGCTACGCGCCTGATGACAGGGACTTCCATCCCGCTTCTAGAGGGTCTGTGCTTTGTAGCTTGTAAACTGTAGTTGCTAATCTTGTATAGCCTGACCAGGAACATAAAAACCCTGGCATAGAGGCGCATCAATTGCATTTGATAGTGCAACACTGAGTACAGTCGTACCTGTGTTAAATTAATAGGCTAACTTTATGTATCAGGATTCAGGATTACGGGCTAATTTAATATTTTCATAAATTAACGAAAACATATTATTATAGGTAACCTGGTTTAAATAAATTAAATGAAACCATCAATCGAGCTAGTAGGATTTATTTTATTATTCATCAATAATCAAATTCAGAACTTGAATATTCAACTGCAATGTCTGCTCATGAACGCTTCAAACTCGGTACTTCTTTCCCAATTCCATAAAATTCAACACTTAGAAAGTGACAAAAAACTTTAAAATAGGTAGTTGAAACAAACCACATGCCGGAAATTGGCGTCTTTTTTTTTTCGCGCGGCCATCGACCAAACCTTGTTTTTTGATTACAAAATAGTGTAATAAACCAAACTTAGTATGACATGTATACCTCTAAACTCAGTCTGAACTGAGTTACGAGCATCAGAAGTTTGATGATTTTCATACTAGATTTGCTGTTTGGGCGCAAGTTTTGTAAGAAATTGCAACAAAATAATGTCATTTTATGTGTAAACAAACAATACCATCCATTAAAGGCTCCAGACATCAGTATCCAGCAGAATCAGCGCAATAAAAAATAGCGCAATATTTTGTTGCAATTTCTTACAAAACTTGCGCGCAAAAAGCAAATCTAGTATGAAAATAATTAAACTTCTAATGCTCGTAACTCAGTTTAGACTGAGTTTAGAGGTATACATGCCATAGTAAGTTTGGTTTAAAACACTATTTTGAAATCAAAAAACAAAGTTTGGTCGAGGGCCGCGCGAAAAAAAAAAGACGCCACCTTCCATACAAAATCTGGCATTGCCATTTTAGGGCCTCCGCTAAAACTTAACCAATTTTCGATATTGAAGTGTAAGCGACCGTGTGAGTTTTAGCGGAAACCCTAATGCTTCCACCACACCCAACGTGGGCAGATCACCATCGCCGGCGATTTTATTTTATTCATTTGTTATTATGTATTCATTGGCCTATGATCGCGCCGGCGATGGCGATCTGCACACATTGGTGTGGTTAAAGCTTTAGAGCCCAGGCATTTTGTGCCAGCCCAGTAACACAAATGCAGCAATAACTAGAAAAACAAATTTGATACGATCGCTGATCTCTTGTATTTGATCTATGCTCCCCAAAGTAATACAACTTTAGTTGCAATTTTATAAGCCCTTCATTGTCTAACTTCAACACCTTACGCCATAGCTTTTTAGTTTCGATCGCCATCAGTGACTGTTGGAAATTCGCAATTATTATTTATGAAATTATTCATTCAGAGGACATGGGTTATAGTATGGTCTGCGATCACGTAGAATTTGTCCAATGACCCCAAGCTATCCGTCCTTATCGCTCGTGCGTAATTATGTCGCTGTCGCGCTCGCACACTCACTGCGAGCGCCCGTCGCACAATCGCGACAGCAATATCATTACGCGCGAGCGACAAGGATGGGTAGCTTGGGGTCATAGGACAAAATTCTACGTGCTCACAGACCGGGCTTTAGATGTTGACGTTACACACTAGGGCCCCGTTTATCCATAGTTGCCATTCAAACATAAACCGTCATCAGGGTTCGAAATTATCAAGATAATTACGCTTCATGATAATTATCGGATAATTATCAACAGTTATACTGTTGTATATTGTTTTATAAGAAATGTTACTTTATGTTTTTGGTTGCTGATTGTTGTCAAGTTATCCATCACTAGTCGCATAATGCGTGGAAAATAGATAAATATTTTGACGCTAAGTAACTATTAGTGATCATTTTGGAGCTAAATAGATAGGTTTTATAACTATCTATGTCCTATGTTGATTAACGTCCACCACTAGACGAAAATGCGGAAAATACATGTTCGAATACTTCGAATACAGTTCATTTTCACGAGCGCATTTTTTTTATTAACAACCGATAATTATCCATCTGTTATTATCACCCTCGTTTCGAACCCTGACCGTCNGTGACAAAAAACTTTAAAATAGGTAGTTGAAACAAACCTCCTCCTTGAAGAGCTTCCTCGTTGTGGATATAAAAAAAAAAAAAAAAAACCACAGCTAATTTTCATAGTGGACTGTACCATACGATAAACATGTCAGTCAATTTGACAACCTTTGTTGAAAACATTATTCAATGAAAATATTGTCCGAACCCTTGGTATTTCTCTTCGACAAATACTTTAACACATTGTGAACCACTTTTCTTTCACAAATATAAAAAGATTTTAGCAATTTAATTCACAAAATCAATTGCGCACATTTAAAATAAAGTTTGTTTACACTTTGACAGCAATAGACTGACATGCAAGGTGACATGTCAATGAAGTTTTTAGTTATTGTTGCCATTAAAAGAAATTAGTAGGTACCATTAGATTTCCGCAACATGGCGAGGGTTTTTATGTTCCTGGTCAGGCTATAGTGATTGTGTCGAAAGACCGCCAGCATATTCAACTTTTAGGGCCTCCGCTAAAACAAAACCAATTTTCGATATTGAACCGCGTGTGGGGTGACCGCACGAGTTTTAGCGGAAACCCTAATGCTTCAACCACACCAACGTGTGCAGATCGCCATCGCCGGCGATTTTATTTTATTCATTAATTTGTTGTGTATTCATTGGCCTATGATCGCGCCGGCGATGGCGATCTGCACGGATTGGTGTGGTTGAAGCTTTAGAGCCCAGGCATTATGTGCCAGCCCAGTGACACAAACGCAGCATTATCTAGTAAAACAAATTTGATACGATCGCTGATCTCTTGTATTTGATCTATGCTTCCCAAAGTAATACAGCTTTAGTTGCAATTTTATAAGCCCTTCATTGTCTAACTTCAACACCTTACACCATAGCTTTTTAGTTTCAATCGCCATCAGTGACTTGGAACTTCGCAATTATTATTTTTGAAATTATTCATTCAGAAGACAGGGTTAGATGTTGACGTTACACACTAGGGCCCCGTTTATCCAAAGTTGCCATTCAAACATAAACCGTCATCAGGGTTCGAAATTATCAAGATAATTACGCTTCATGATAATTATCGGATAATTATCAACAGTTATAATACTGTTGTATATTGTTTTATAAGAAATGTTACTTTATGTTTTTGGTTGCTGATTGTTGTCAAGTCATCCATCACTAGTCGCATAATGCGTGGAAAATAGATAAATATTTTGACGCTAATTAACTAGTGATCATTTTGGAGCTAAATATATAGGTTTTATAACTATCTATGTCCTATGTTGATTAACGTCCACAATTAGACGAAAATGCGGAAAATACATGTTCGAAAACTTCGAATACAGGTTATTTTCACGAGCGCATTTTTTTGTTATTATCAACCGATAATTATTATCCATCTGTTATTATCACCCTCGTTTCGAACCCTGACCGTCGTTNAACTGCAATGTCTGCTCATGAACGCTTCAAACTCGGTACTTCTTTCCCAATTCCATAAAATTCAACACTTAGAAAGTGACAAAAAACTTTAAAATAGGTAGTTGAAACAAACCTCCTCCTTGAAGAGCTTCCTCGTTGTGGATATAAAAAAAAAAAAAAAAAACCACAGCTAATTTTCATAGTGGACTGTACCATACGATAAACATGTCAGTCAATTTGACAACCTTTGTTGAAAACATTATTCAATGAAAATATTGTCCGAACCCTTGGTATTTCTCTTCGACAAATACTTTAACACATTGTGAACCACTTTTCTTTCACAAATATAAAAAGATTTTAGCAATTTAATTCACAAAATCAANAGCTCTCATTGATCGCTACTACAAAGTTATGTCGTTACTTTTGATGGCAGCTGTCATTCTAATCAAGCTATATTGGATAGACTATAGTGAGTGTAAATACGATATTCCTCCAACTGCTTCTGCGCTCACCAGTTGGCGCCACTGTCTTATCTACTAATAAGTCACAGAGCCGTATTCAAGGGACCAACTGATCATAAATACAGTAAGTAGCCTTGATTGATGGGTTGTGTCTTTAAAAACTGTTTTAGCTTTGTTCTAAAAGCTACAAACAACGTCTTCCTAAGCATTACTTTATACAGGGTGTCCCAAAAAGTAGTGTCAAATCGAAGCCCAGAGTTAAAGCATCACTATAGGGCTGCCGGAATCACCGCGATTTTTGTCAGTTTTCGAGTTTTGATTTTTTTTTAATATAGGATTTTTTGGTTTACACGTGTTATGGATGTAAATACTTCTGAATCAGCTGGCCTTGTATTCATCTAATAATAATAAAAAAATCAGGCATGTACTTCATCTATTCGCGCCACAGTGACCAAAAAGTGCCTAAGCTCAGAAATTTAAAAAAATCATAACTCGAAAACTATCAAAAATCGCGGTACATACATGGGGGTGATTCGGATAGCCCTAGTGATGCTCTACCTCTGGGCTTCGGCTTGACACTACTTTTTGGGACACCCTGTAATATTTAATTTTCTGTGTTTATACTCGCTATCATAATACATAAACCCCGGGTCCGTGAACGGGCTCTTTTTTCGAAAAGACAAAAAGTACCACTAGTCCAAGGGAGGTGATTAGTTTAGTTTCTGTAATTCCTTCCAGAACGAGCCGGGAGTCCGCAACGAGTACGGCGACGGTTTGCTCGTGTACCGCAGCGGCGACGAGCTGGCCGAGCCCGAGGAGGGATACTCCAGCGCCATCAGCGAAGAGGAGGTCAAGTACGACCCCTCCGTGTGGCAGTCCGTCATCCGCTACGCGCCTGACGACAGGGACTTCCATCCCGCTTCTAGAGGGTCTGTGCTTTGTAGCTTGTAGTAGTAGCAAGTCTTGTAGTGTTCATATTAATAGTCGGGAGATCGGCATGTTCAAAANAACACATTGTGAACCACTTTTCTTTCACAAATATAAAAAGATTTTAGCAATTTAATTCACAAAATCAATTGCGCACATTTAAAATAAAGTTTGTTTACACTTTGACAGCAATAGACTGACATGCAAGGTGACATGTCAATGAAGTTTTTAGTTATTGTTGCCATTAAAAGAAATTAGTAGGTACCATTAGATTTCCGCAACATGGCGAGGGTTTTTATGTTCCTGGTCAGGCTATAGTGATTGTGTCGAAAGACCGCCAGCATATTCAACTTTTAGGGCCTCCGCTAAAACAAAACCAATTTTCGATATTGAACCGCGTGTGGGGTGACCGCACGAGTTTTAGCGGAAACCCTAATGCTTCAACCACACCAACGTGTGCAGATCGCCATCGCCGGCGATTTTATTTTATTCATTAATTTGTTGTGTATTCATTGGCCTATGATCGCGCCGGCGATGGCGATCTGCACGGATTGGTGTGGTTGAAGCTTTAGAGCCCAGGCATTATGTGCCAGCCCAGTGACACAAACGCAGCATTATCTAGTAAAACAAATTTGATACGATCGCTGATCTCTTGTATTTGATCTATGCTTCCCAAAGTAATACAGCTTTAGTTGCAATTTTATAAGCCCTTCATTGTCTAACTTCAACACCTTACACCATAGCTTTTTAGTTTCAATCGCCATCAGTGACTTGGAACTTCGCAATTATTATTTTTGAAATTATTCATTCAGAAGACAGGGTTAGATGTTGACGTTACACACTAGGGCCCCGTTTATCCAAAGTTGCCATTCAAACATAAACCGTCATCAGGGTTCGAAATTATCAAGATAATTACGCTTCATGATAATTATCGGATAATTATCAACAGTTATAATACTGTTGTATATTGTTTTATAAGAAATGTTACTTTATGTTTTTGGTTGCTGATTGTTGTCAAGTCATCCATCACTAGTCGCATAATGCGTGGAAAATAGATAAATATTTTGACGCTAATTAACTAGTGATCATTTTGGAGCTAAATATATAGGTTTTATAACTATCTATGTCCTATGTTGATTAACGTCCACAATTAGACGAAAATGCGGAAAATACATGTTCGAAAACTTCGAATACAGGTTATTTTCACGAGCGCATTTTTTTGTTATTATCAACCGATAATTATTATCCATCTGTTATTATCACCCTCGTTTCGAACCCTGACCGTCGTTGTTGCTTTTGAAGCCGCTCGCGGCAACAACGGGGCCCCGGGGACGTGAAACTAATCCGAGGCACACATTCCCTTAGAACAGCGGCGGTGGTTACAGTTTCGACGACGGAGGCGCCGACTGAGTGGGCCCCGCCGCCGCGTCCGCGCCGCATGCAGGTGAGCCCCCCGCCCGCGCCCGCGCCCCCCGTGGCCCTCGAGCTCGAGGTGGCTGCCACCGACGTCTGGTGCCACACCTACACGCACCGCTCCGAGTGACCGCGCGGCACCAACTGGCCCTACCATGACGCCGTACCAACTGGCCCTACCATGACGCCGTACCAACTGGCCCTACCATGACGCCGTACCAACTGGCCGTACCATGACGCCGTACCAACTGGCCCTACCATGACGCCGTACCAACTGGCCCTACCATCACGCCGTACCAACTGGCCCTACCATCACGCCGTCACTTGACTTCCATGATGCTACCAAGACAACAAAAGGACCAGAAAACTCGACTGTCCACACAAGCTGGATGGAATAGTGGCGTTCGAATATTGAAAACAAAGAAGACAGGGGCGGACTAAGGACTGCAGTGTGGGGCCTCGAGCTCGAGGTGGCTGCAACTGATGTCTGGTGCCACACCTACACGCACCACTCCGAGTGACGGCTATGGTACCAACTGGCCCTACCATCACGCCGTCACTAGACATACATGATGCTACCAAGACAAAAGGAACGCCCAGAAAACTCGACTGTCCACACAAGCTGGATGGAATAGTGGCGTTCGGATATTGAAAAAAAAAGAAGACAGGGTTGGACTAAGGACTGCAGTGTGGGGCGATTTTAAGTCTGGTGTCACTGAATTTTAGAAATTTATCATAAGCTCGTGAACGAACGGTTGCCTTGATATTGATAAAGTCCTAGTAAAAGTAAGCGAATAACTAGAATTTAGTTTTAAATGCGTTTCATGCCTGTGTCATGCGTTTGTTTAGTTTAGTCAAAATCGACCAAAGTTTATAATGGGTTCCTTGTTTATAGGCGACGTCGGTGTTAAAACACTTTCAGTTTTCTTAACAATCGTTTTCATTTATTCGTTAGCTCTGTAAGAGAGAATGAATTGTTATAATAGGTATTTAGTTCCTTATTGTTATGTACAAATAAATAGTTAATAAAAACTGGTTATTTCAATTGTAGTTTTATAGTTAGTAGACTTGAATTGTAGGTGTTTTAATACCGGCATCACCTGATAGGTTCCTTAGGTTAACTGTAGGTCTAAACACAAAAAATCTGTTGCTATGTTCACTTCAGTGAACCAATTTGTAACTAAAGTTTAGTATTTATTATTAAATAAATTGTAATGCATATAATTTATCGCGCAGGTGATGCCGGGGCACTCTGATAGGGAGCAGGAGCAATTCAAATGCTTGTACCTGCTCGTGGAGACGGCCGTTGCTGTGCGCCAGAGGGAGAAGGAGCAAGAGGAAGCAATCCTCCCAATATAGGAGGTTTTCTTACACTTATGCCCGTCTTCACCATCAATCCCCAATTTTTAAGTGACCCCTATGAAAACAAAATGCCTGTTATGTGTTACCATAGGGGTCACTTAAAGAATAGGGATTGATGGTGAAAACAGGCATAAGTTTGTAGTATGGTTCCGCTTCTTACGCATCGTGTCAGATTATAAAGAAAATGTGGACCATGATAAATGATGCAAGTGCCTGAATCCGTGCCTGCTCATCATATTTTTTTCAGTTTTAATTAACAATTACCTACCTCTAATGTTTTGTGTATGCCTATGCACTAGGCATCTAGGAAAGTAAGGCAAGCTAGAAGTAAGCTGAATATTTTTTCTATTGTACAGTCGAATATAAGAATTATCGCGTTTTTGTTAATAAATAAATCGAATGAATTTAAAGTGTTTATTTTAATAATTCTTTCACTTGACGTTTTTCCTCTATCAATATCGGTTCAGCCATAGAGCACGTAATAATGGTTTTAGCAGCGTCGTATTAAGGCCGTAAGGCGGGTATAGGGAGATATTATATTAGGTACGGTTATGTCCATAAGGTCCATTGAGGAGCCCAACTTGTTCTATTTTAAATTTTTAGTACTGTTGTGCCCAAGTGGCTAGTGCACAGGCAGGACCTTAGTCTACAGTGGCGCCATCATAGGAAGAGCGAATGCCATTGCATTGGTCTACTACCACCTGTTGCGCTGTTGTGTCGGCAAGTATTGAATGACTGCAACCGCGCCATCTGTCTGTTTCCCTAATCTTTTTTTTTCTACGATTGGCGTGGTGGAGGAGACTTTATTTTGAGATGACCCTGAAGTCAAATTATGTATCGTTATTTGGAGTTTTGATGCAAAAAAGTAATTTTAAACAACGGATAAACCATATCGATAAAAGTCCTTTGATTGCGTTTGTACGTGTATCCGAACAAAAAATAGATCTTCGGTCGATGGCGTTCGAAGCGCAGGAGCGCGAGATTTGATTTCGACCAATCACGTGGACGCGTCTTTACCGCTGTCAAATCGTGAGAAACTTCATTCAAATAACAAGAGGAAGAAAAAAACATTTCAAAAGCTCGCCGATTTACTTCACATCCTGTCTTCTTTGGTTTTATAAACGTTTGAAAATAACTGGTCATCAACGGTGGTCTGGGACTAATAGTTAAAAAGTCGCTGCCGTTTTTAAAGTCACTTGAAATTCAACAGAGTCGCGCCTGATAAAGGACGTCTGCCGGAGATAAAGTTTGGTTTTGTTCAAAGTTCTTTGTTGTGGTGGAATACCGACTACCGATCAACCATGGAAGTTGAAACTAAATGTAAGTCGATTTTATTTTCCTTTTTCACTTGCCTTTTCGAATTCCTATTGGAATATAAATTGCATTAATTTAACCGTGTTTATTCTGATAGATTTAGTTATTTTAGCTTCATCCAACTCACAATTTTTTTTTGTTGTTCTTAATTTGAAAGTACTTGTTAAGAGGATTATAGATTTTTTACACCTCAATTTTATTTTTATTTTTGGTGCAAAGTTGGAGGAGCATTTATTTATCTAGTATGTATTTCAAATAAGTATTATTTAGCAGCTAAGAGAAATTGGATGCTGGATACACAGTACCCACTGTACCCGCGCATTTAAATATTTTTATTAATTTTATAGATTAAAGTCAATAGGGTAGGTATTGTAAAAATTATTTATTTTTATCTTTTTGATTAAGAATACCTAATACTAGATAAATATAAATAAGCATTGAAAAGCATCAACCCTTTTTTTAATTTACAACGGGTACATAAGTACCTACACCTACAAAAAATAAAATAAAATTGTACAACCAACAGTAATTTCCAATAAACCACTGTCTTCTCTTACCACAACATTCTTATAATACTGATTTCCTATTAGTTTTTCAAAGAGATGTATTTCAAGCAATTCTATTTTTATTTGTGTTTATTTTAAAAGTATTGAAGTTAAGGAATTTTAATTATTCTTGCTTGCTATTTTTCTATTTCCTGCAAGATTAAGACATACCATTATCACCCAAATATTAATAAAAATACATTAAAATATTTGCTACTTACACCATTTTTTTATGTGAATATTTTTTGTTACTGTGACATTTTAGTTTTAATAAGAATATCTTTGGACTGACTGAACAGAGAAAATTAAGTTAAAAACGATTTTATTAGGTTCATAATTTATTTAATCAATTTACATACAACTTATTTAAAATTTATTTTAAATATAAAACAAATAGATTTTATTCTTCCACAGGGATGCTTTTTAGGGTTCCGTAGCCAAATGGCCAAAAACGGAACCCTTATTAAATTATGAAGTAGGTAATATAGGTCCCTACAAATTGTAGGAAAGACAGCTAGAATAAATTGCTGTCTTTCCCGAACACTATAATCCGGGCCTTTTTATGGAGAGTGATTAGGCACTTACAGGGCAGAATGTGTACCTACCATACTAGACTGTATCTCACTTAACACCAGGTGCGATTGCGGTCAAATACCTGCCTTATTATGCATAGAATGATTAATTATTTTTAACTATACAGTTTGTTTTTTCATTAACAAAATAAATATAGTTTGGAATTGCAATGAAAACCTTTTTAGATCCTTACCTGAAATTACTAAACCACCTGATTTCTTTACTTTTACTAAGTTTGCATTTACTCTCATACCCTACATTTCATGTAAATAAAAACCGCATTGTCTAAAACCGTAATATTAAGAGATCATAAATAAAATGTCAACTGAAACCAGTTCCTACAGTCTTGCATTACACACCCACGCGCGTCGTTTTTTGTCCGCGTAAGACCGTTAAACGAGTACCAATTTACCAGTTGTGTCCAATAAGAAAAATGAGTTTTTGCGAAGTAGATAGTGTCATCTTCGAAGTTCGAACGACCGTTGGGAAGCAAGGACGCCTGCAGCCGTTGAGCTGACTCATCACGTCACCGGCGTAAGCTCGCGCACATCTTCCGCGCCTGCCGTTGTTCTATATTTGAACTAGTGGTACCTATCACCTTTTATGGTTGCTTTAAGGATCTTTGTATGGATAGGCAAGATATTCGCATCCTGTTCCTTCTACAAAGTTGTTTGCTTTGTAGGAATGTCAGTCAGAGTAGCTGCCGGTAACTTTGTTTGCGCGAAGTTATTTATAAATTCTAGTGTAAGTTACTAAACTAGGTTAGTTATTCTGAGTGAAGTTAATTAGTTTGGCATAGAAGGGTATCTAGTCTACCTAATCCATCATCAATCGATCTAAACAATACAATTTTTACGTTCGAAAACTTACCTTACTTTTACCCTCTTCGACTGAACCCGACTGCTCAAAATGATACTTACCTCCTTTAAAATCCATAAAAACGTCTATAGATTCTATAAGAAATTAGATTAGCTTTTGTAGAAAACCAACTTCAGTTAGGTATTGTTTATAACTAATTGACCGTAAAATGGCTCNAATGGCACAAAAGCTCAAGTTTTGATGATCTCATTTCTGTCTCCGTTCGTTAAATAAATGCAAATAAACGACCGGTTCATTGAGGACGAACCAATGGCTCGAACTAATAAAGCCTCTTCAAATTTAACGCCCAATTTAAAGTGTTATTAAATTGACACTAAGAGGTCTCACCTCGGGGAGCTTCTGATTAAAAGTGAGAGTGGGCAGAGCACCCCTCTCGCCTAAAACCAATACAATTCAGCGGGGCGATGTAATTTTTCCAACCAGCCCGCCTAATGGCCCGTTACGGCGCAACTTTATACATTTATTTGTTAAAGTACGACGCTCTCGATCGACTCCACCATTATTCGAGGGTGTTCCACCGTTCAACGCATTATCAACACAATGAAAGGAATCCTCGCTTACTATGCTCGCGGGTAAATATTGACCTTTGTCCATATTGCGGCGTAAACAAAGGCGGTTTACCAGAAAATTAGGACGATACCTACAGCGTACACTCACTGAGCGCATTTTCTTGATTAAAAGACGTTTCTGTACGTGTCAAACTTCGCTGCGTTCCCATGCTTGATTAAAAGGGGGAACCAGGTCATCAGGTTAGAGGGTTTAATAAAATCTCGTCTTATTTGTCGGTAGGCAGATGCAATGCAATTTGTCTTCGCAATCTCGAACATTTTGTACAGATTGTAGAAGCTTTCACTTGCATTGAATCATTCTATGTCTAATTGAATAGGTTCAGTTCGGATGTGAAATTGCGGACAATCAAACCATACGCAGCTGTCCTCCTACATGGCTTTCTATCAGCAAAACTTACAATACAAGTACAGCACGGTACGTAACGCAATGAAAGCTCGTCTGGCCGGCTGTCGCCGCAAAAGGCAAGACGACGTGGGCGCAGGCGCCTACGCACAGGACTTACTCATTATCCTGAATGTAAAGTATGCAGCTCGATGATTTATCACATATTACCGTAATAGAAAGCCTGTCCCGAAATAAACATCGATGTAGGTCCAAAATCTTACAACCTAGAGTTTCTAAAAATTTTGATTCAGCAGATCTCTAATAAATCATTAACTGCTCAAACAATTCATGCTCTTATCATCTCATGCATGTAGCCAAATTTTTCAAATTTTGTTTTATTTATTAGATTGTCTGCTTCTGCTGTTTATCTTCAGAAATCACTGATAAATAATATTCTACGTTATTTCAAGTTGTATGAAATCGAGCTTTCTCATGAAGTTTCCAACACAAACAACATCCATAATCATCCATTTAATAGGATAGGACGTCAAATTGAGCAATAAAATACATTATTATTGCCCCGTGCCTTAATTGCCCAGCGAACAACAGTCATCGCGTGTGCGCGTCATTTATTAGTAAACGCGTAATCTGCCGAGACAATGCACCCACACAGTAGAGAAATCAAACAGTACGGAAGCTTCATACAAACGCTCGAAATCAGACTCACGCACACAGACGCACGCTTTACACGAGCTCTAAGCGAACCTCGCAGTCCATCCGTCGCGGGTGTCGCGCGCGCTGTGTTTTTAATAATAATTTTATTGCATGCGCTGTCCGCTGTATTTTTAAAAACATGCCACGAGTGTATTGCCACAAGTATTGCGTAGTATACGACTGCTTGAACTCGGCATCTTCAAAACCAGAACTTTCATTTTTTAAAACTTCGTAATAATTCTGAATTGTAAAAATGATTAAATATTACTTTTTAATTAAAGTGCTTTCATCTTTTATTAGGAATAGTTATTTTTAAATTACGTAATTACGCTTTTTAACAATGTAATGTGTTCTAAAGTAATTTGCTCCGCGCGCTTTTTTACTAAGTGATGATGATGAACTGTATTAAAAATGAGGCAATAGGTATGTGAAAGTAAGTATCCGGTATTTTATTTATAAGAATAGATCTTCTACCGGCCTCTAATAGTAAACGTTTTAATAAACAAGTAAGTAAGAACCTTATTAATTTTATAAGGATTAAGAGTGCCAACCCTAACACTCAGTTGAAGTGTAGGTATTTAACTCGCCGAAAGGGCTAAGTTTCCGTACTGGTTTAGCTCATATATATACTGTGGCACCCAGGTCATCAAACTTAAATGTATTAAGGCCACAGTAAAGTTGCATGTACAGTAGGCCTAGTATGACCAACAGTAATGTAAACTCATACTTCTTTAACGTTGCATACATTGTGCAACACTCTAGGATTATTTATCTGGTGCATTGCATTATATTTTCCAATTCCCGGTAGTTTTGCTGATCAAAATTATGAAGAATCAAGGATCCCAAGTAGGAGATACCCACCCAGTCTGGATGAATTACATGGGCATTGGGCAAGGCAACCACATTTTTATTGTTTGTGGAGTGGTTTGCAGTTGCATTCGCTGCATTATATTGATTCATTCGTTAAAATGTGAGGCATCTGCGTCCACTCCTATTTACGTGTTTGGAACGGTGCATGTTCTATCTGGTTGTTGTTTCGCTTAGGTGCAAATTGCATGCAACTGACGACACAGTCATGTTTTCTGTGTAAATCTCTGTGCGCAATATCACACATGGATGGAAGTATTTCTGGACTCAAAAAGTAAAGAAAGGCTGCCTACGTTCTTACCTTTTTTTGAACTACGCAGTTATTTAATACAGTATTAACCGGGTGATAGATATTTCAGTTTTCATAATTACTTTCGCTAGAGCCAGTGGAGCTTGATTTCATTCTAATTAATTCGTTTAGGATTAGTTTTTTAAAGGTTTAATTAATGTTTATTGCATTCGCTGATTTAATTATTGCATTCCTGCACACTCCAGTTTTTTCCTCAAACGGATCAAAATTGCATTCTACTTCTA